AGAAACAAGATCACCATCTGATAGCAAAGTTCAAAGGAGAAGATGCATACCATAATTCAAAGGAAAAAATAATGCATAGACAGAAGGGCTGAGAACTGTTGGTCACCTGCCAGCTCTTCACAGACAAATATTTGTACAGAAGCTCAAGACAGGACAGATGTGCTGATGAATTATAAATAGTCTAGATCTACAGCAAAACCTATAAAGATATGAGGAGAGCCACATAGTGGAGCCTCACTTAAAGGAAATGAAACTCAGTAAAACTAAGTCAGAACTGACTCATCACTTCTGCCCCTAGTTCTGTCCAAACTCAGCCGTTTCCACCAATAGATTTCAGTTTTATTAACCAAAAAGTTCTTTGTATATTTAAATCACCGCTTTTTTTCCTTTACATTGTAGAGACACTGGTGCCTCTCCACACAAAATATTTTATATTTGAAAATTGGTGTAAGTTGAATATTTTTATATAAACTAGAATGTTCTCATATTTTGGTTAACTACCCAAATGCCTACAACAGCAAAACCTGGGTCAGGCTGAAGCAAGAAGTAAGAACTCAGTCTGGGTCTCCCATATGGGTGGCAAGCACTCAAGTACCTGAGTTACCACCTGCACTTTACCAGAATCAATGTTAGCAGGAAATTGGAGTCAGGACTGAGCCAGGACTCAAACCAGGAGCTCTAATACGGAATGCCACTTTGGGATGCAGTATACCAAGTGGTGTCTTAACCACCATGCCAAATGTTCAACCCTAGAGGGTCTTCATATGTTTCTTTTTGAATGACAGTGAAATGAAATGAGTCACATTCTGTAATAAAGCTGCATATAACATATCATTCCATATTATACAATTAACTATAGAGGTTCTATCTTAGATTCTTCTTTAAATTTATTTGACAGGTAGAGTTATAGAGAGTGAGAGAGAGAGACAGAGAGAAAGGTCTTCCTTCCGTTGGTTCACTCCCTAAATGACCGCTACTTCCTGGTCTCCCATGTGGGTGCAGGGGCCCATCCTCTACTGCTTTCCCAGGCTACTGCAGAGAGCTGGAGACGGCGCCACAGATGGAGGATTAACAAGTGAGCCATGGCGCTGGCTCTATCTTAGATTCTGATGTCAACCTCCAATGCTTATGAATTCATTCAATAAATATTTATTTAGTACCTACTGTATACTAAATATACACCATACAGCATGAATTAAATGATAAAGATACTTGTCTTTATGAAGTTTATTCTACTTAGTGAGGGAGGAATAGAGATAATACACAAATTAGCATAGTAAGTCTAAAAATTTTAATATGTAAGAATGTCATAATACAATGAGAAAAAAATATATCCAAGTAAAACTAGAGAGTCTTTAATATGGATTGTGGGGTCAAAATCTCATTGAAAAGATGACATTAGGGCAGGATATGAAGAAGATGAGGGTCTGAGTCACTTTAGGTTCTCTAGAGAAGAAAGTGTCAGGCACAGGGAAGAACAAACATGCAGGCTAGGAGGAGGAAGAGTGTACAGAGTGTTGAAGTGGGTGAGGAGGTCAGCTCAGTGGGTAGGAGTGAGAAGGTGGTAGAAGACTGGACTGAGTTTACAATCTACAGGACCCAATGCAAAATAAGAAGGAGGATCTATTGTTCACAATTATTAAGAATTTCAAGAACCTCCAACCTTATCTGGGTGCCCCCTGAGCACAAGGCTCTGTGTCACTGTGTAGGTTACACAACCATGAAGTGGGTTTTGGCAGCAGCTATGGTCAGGACAACAGGAAAGGAGTGGCAAAGAATTTATGAAGGGCCTTCTAGGCTCTTACAAGAATATCAACTTTTATTCTGAGAACAGCAGGGCATCACTGGAAGGTTTTAAGCCATTTAACTTTTAGGATCTGTGCTGCAATTAATCTGGAAGCCAAAGTGGAAGCAAGAGAACAGGTAGGAGACTGCTGCAATAGTCCCATAAGAGATGATGGTAGTTTGGTCCAAGGGTAATGTCAGCGCAGATAATGAGAAGTGCCTGACTCTGGAATTCACAGAACTGGTGGTGGCTTTCATTGTAGGGAAAAGAGAAATTTCCACTGGGTTGGACTTGCCAGAAACTCAGACAAGGAAATATAGGGGAGGGTCACAGCTGGTGGTGGTGCAGAAGAGAATCAAGAGTTCAATTCCCACCTGGAGCACAGGATACCTCTCACACACTCAAGCAGAAACAGTGGTTGGACAGGTGAGTCTTGTGTTCAGGGGAGTATGAGGCTGGAGAAAGAAATTTGAAAGCAACCAGAAAAGTCTTAATTCTTCAATTAGATACAGGTAAAGGTCTCAATTGATGTAACATCTTCAAAAGTTCTAGGCTAATCAAAATTCTTCTTGGGGGGTGGCGCCGTGGCACAGTGGGTTAATCCTCCGCCTGAGGAGCCGGTTCTAGTCTCGGCTGCTCCTCTTCCAGGCCAGCTCTCTGCTGTGGCCCGGGAAGGAAGTGGAGGATGGCCCAAGTGTTTGGGCCCCTGCACCCACATGGGAGACCAGGAGGAAGCTCCTGGCTCCTCACTCCAAATCACCGCAGCTCCAGCTGTTGTGGCCATTTGGGGAGTGAACCAACAGAAGGAAGATCTTTCTCTCTGTCTCTCTCTCTCACTCTCTATAACTCTACCTGTCAAATAAATAAATAAATAATCCAAACAAATTTTTCTTAGAATGATACACTGCTTTTGGCTAATGATGTCTGTACTGTAATATCTACTTCTTACTCCATCATTCTTAGTGAAATCCCTCATTTAACAGCCTTGGTGTTCTGTTGACACCAAGGAGTTTGAAACATGACTAAGAAAAAATAGGGGAAAATTGTCTCAAATATTACAGCTATTTATCACTACAAGTAGTAAACTATTTGATTTGGGGACAAACTATTTATAATTTATAATCTCCAGAATGGTCCTTTTGTTACACCAATGTAAAGAAAAAATTCATCTATTACACCTATGTTGCTATCAATAATCTACATCTAAGTGCAGATGAACGTTCTTGATTATAGTAAATCTTCTGGATTAGGAGTAGAAACCAGAAGGCTGAACTGAAGTTGCCTGTTATTTTTGCCTTTTGGTGGGAAGAAAGAGAAGTTATCCACAGATGAGAAATATTGACAATGTATCTGAATTTTGCTTGTCCTGAGTTTTTTGCTAGTTAGAAGCTCCTTGTGGGAAGTACATAGAACAGAAAGATGATGCTTTTACAATATTGTGAATCTCTAGATTCAAATAATGCAAAGTGAGAGCCTGGATGTCAAAAGAAAGCATAGAATCAGAGAGAAGTACACTTTCCCTGATTGTTCAAAACCAGATCCATGACTTTGGCACATCTGGAGGCAGTAGGTTTGAGAGAATCCAGACAAAGCCCCTTTCTCGAGAGTATTGTCACTTGTGGGGCACCATCAGGAGATGTACCCTCCAGGGGCAGGAAGGCAGCAAATGCCAGCCAGGGAGAGTGTTCTAGGACAGAGGAGGAAGTGAGGGGGCTGCGGTGAATGTACATGAGAAATAACTTGGGAATGCTCTGCAGAAGAGGATTTATAATCAGTAATTAGTGTATTGTGGTATGGTGTCATTTTCATCCCCAGCTTGGGAAAAGCTGCAGGTACACAGACACTAGTTCCAATCAGGAATTGGGGTATTGAGTGCTGATTTCTTTGAAATTAGGCCGCCTCCAATTTGGTCCTCTGTGGCTTACATAACGAGCACCACTTCATTTCTCTGAGTGAACTGTGTCCAATCTCTTTCCAGTCTTCTGCCAGGTTTCCTTTGTCCTGCCCCCTCCCACAGTAAGAGACAGATGGGGAAAGAATATTCATGATCAGAACCCAAAATGGATAATGACTTCCATGTCTCATTATAATGAGAATCCCAGTGAGACTCAACTATGCGATGACATTGTATCCCTCAGTCTATCCTCACACACCCACAAGATGAGCAAAACCCAAAGATGTTACCATTTAATTAGTCAGCATACCATGAAAAACAACATCTGCATTCTGATAGCTTAAATGTAAATCAGAACTTTTTTCCTGCAATTTTCATCTAATTCATCCTCAGGTTTGAAAATAGTTGTCATTTGGGGTTTATGAATAGGTGCAGACAGGTAAACTGATCCTCACATGCAAACATAAGAAGAAATACGTCTCCTTTCCATGTCATTAAAAATAGTTACTGGGGCTTAGAGCTGTGGTGTAGTAGGTTAAGCCTCTGCCTGTAGTGCCAGCATCCCATTTGTATCTTGGTTAGTATCCTGGTTATTCTTCTTTTTATCCAGCTCTCTGCTTATGGCCTGGAAAGACAGTGGAAGATAGCCCAAGTGCTCGGGCCCCTGTACCCACGTGGGAGACCTGGAGGAAGCTCCTGGCTTCAGATCAGCTCAGCTCTAGCCATTGGGGCCATTTGGAGAGTGAACCTGTGGATGGGAGACTTCTTTCTCTTTCTCTCCCTCTCTCTGTAACTCTGCCTCCCAAATAATCTTTTTCAAAAATAGTTATTTCAGTTTCAGACTGAGTACAACATGAGTAGTTATTGATTCTATAATAAAATTCTAAAAACACATGGAAAAAGCAGTTAGTTTTCTAATCTTAAAAGAACAAAGCTATTCGAGGATTATATCATGTATACATTAGGTAATCTGTACATTGTGTTAATTCACATAAAATACGGTTTCTCTACATTAGTACTACTGACACTGGGGCTGCAATGCGAAACCATGGAAGGCATTGCAGTCCTGGGGACAAAATCTCACCTGTTTGAGAACCAAAGTTATATATTCTATTACTTTACAGGCATGAGAGAATCAAATTCATCTTCATATATATTTTGTTATTCTTTCATTATGAGCAATAATGTTGAAGTCTTCAGCCAAAGGAGGCTGACAGCTTTGTTGAAAGGACAATGAGAGACATCCTAGCTCTCCCAAATGACCAAATGACACTTTCTTTTTGATACACTGTCCTTTGACGAGGCATATAAAATACTTACCTCTCTGTCATATTCACGACACTCAAAGATGATACAGTTGACTAATCCACTTCCTTCTTCAGAAATTCAGCAACCTAGAAATAGCTAGAATCAGGAGATTTTAGTCCACTCAGTAGAATGTGTCTCACAGTTGGGCAGCAGCAGGAAGACCACAGAACTATACCCAGAGTCCTTTTGGTTTTTAATCTGTTAACTGATAACAGCTTACCTTTGAGAACAATTATACCACTAACATGTTTTAATAAAATTATCTTTCATGACAACTAAAAAGCTTTGTTTTGTTTGCTCAGATTTCTAATTTATAAGGGGAAAGCGATGGTTAGAAACTTCTGACTGAGGCCAGCGCCACGGCTCACTTGGCTAATCCTCTGCCTGCAGCAACGGCACCCCGGGTTCTAATCCCGGTTAGGGCGCCGGATTCTGTCCCAGTTGCTCCTCTTCCAGTCCAGCTCTCTGCTGTGGCCCGGGAAGGCAGTGGAGGATGGCCCAAGTCCTTGGGCCCTGCACCCACATGGGAGACCAGGAGGAAGTACCTGCCTCTTGGCTTCAGATCAGTGCAGCACGCCAGCCGTAGCGGCCATTTGGGGGTTGAACCAATGGAAGGAAGACCTTTCTCTCTTTCTCTCTCTCTCTCACTGTCTAACTCTGCCTGTCAAAAAAATAAATAAATGAGTGAATTTTTTAAAAAAAGAAACTTCTGACTGGATCATAAATAAAATCAAGCTTTTAGTTTTTCATATTTGTTGTTTATTATATTCCTATCTCTTGCTTGTTGCTTTAAAAAATTAAAATTGTACAGACTTCATGCACATAAAGCACTTCTTAAAATAAAAATATTTAAAACAAACTTATTTTCAACACTAGATGAACATGCCAATAATTTCTAACAATATTTGATATAACACCAAGAATGTCATGGAATTTGATTAGTTCTTTTATTCTGTTACATTAGCTCTTGACTGTAGTTGGACTTTGACCCTGTTTTGCTGACTTTCTTCCATTGTAGGGGACCTAAAAAAAAAATAAGAACTGAGACAATGCTCCATTCAATTTTATTCAAATAAATACTTACGTTATTTAAATTTGAAAGGCATAGAGACAGAGAGAGAAATCCTCCATCCACTGGTTCATTCCCCAAGATTTCTGTAACAACTGTGACTATGCCAGGCTGATGCCAGAAGCTGGGGTCTGGTCCAAGCCTCCCACATGAGTGGCAGGGAGCCACTGGAGCCGTCACCAGTGCCTCTGAGAGTGCTCGCCAGCAGGAAGCTGGGCTCACAAGCAGAGACGTGGAGGTGCCCTGCTGATGATATTTTTTCTAAACCTCTCAGCCTCTTACAGGAATATGCTACACAAGAGCATCCAGGCTGTAGAACATCATATAAAAGAAACTGCTGTAAGTAAGAAAGATGTTTTTGAAAAATGTATTTTCATGCTGCTTTAACAAGGAACCAAAAAGGAAAGAAAGAAGGCAATCTTCCTCTCACAAGCAGGCGAGATAAGACAGAGAAGCATCAGGAAGTGGGTGCTTTCCACTGTCAGTGAACTTTACCAGATGTTCAGAGAAGGTGGCTGTACCTATATTCTTCAGAGTAAAACCCTACCCCTTTTAGTTTTACTATGTTTTACATTTGAATTGTTTGGTGAAGCAAAACAGATTTTTGAGAAATGTTTTTCCCTTTAAAAAGTAAGTATTCAGTAACAGCTGTCCGAAGAAGAGGAGAAAAAAGAAAAGGAAACAAGCAAAGCCACAAAGCCCCAGCTGCACTTGGCTCCTGCTCTCTCTGCACAGCTTGTGACGTAGGCTTGTTGTATTTTGAATTCATAGGTCAGAAACGCTCATTCAGAGAGGAAGCTGGCTTTGGCATGATCCCCAGAAGAAAACAGCATTCACAGAACTGTTATTCAAAAGGTATGCACTGAGAGCTGTATTTCTTATTCTGATGAAGCTTACCTTAGTCTAAGTGGGGAGGCCTACTTTCTGGTGGGCCATTTCTGATGTAAAATTCTAAGTTTCCTAAACCATTACTGGAATCCGAGAAAGGATCCAACAGCAAACCCTGAAGAGCTGAGAGAGGAGTCTTGCAGCACAAAGCACAGATTGCAAGAGGGCCCTGTTTCCATCTGGGTGACTTGCTGGAACCCGGACCTTTGTTACCTTGTTCACCTGAGCCACAACTTCAGGGAGAGATTTTAAAGCAGTTCTCTTTGCAGTGCTGATGTTACATGTCAGATCTCTGAAGCCACCGAGATCTTCATCCTTCCTCCCCTGATTAGGCCTGTCCGAGCCTGCTTGTGCATCCCCTTGTTAGGGTCCACAGGCCTCTCCCTGACTAACGTTCCTTGGAAATTTGACTTCCCATCTCCATGTAGTATTTCACTTAGTGCAACAGGGGAAAATTCGTTTATCACAAACACACATACCATTCTTTTACACTTTACGCTTACATTTCAGGGATGTGCAGATGATTTCTAGCTGCCTTAATTTCATGGCAATCTACCGCTGTGTGACATATACTATTGCATTGTTCATAATATTTAGACAGTTCCATAGCAACCCATAAAATACAATCTCCCCAGGTCTGCATTCCTTCAGCTGTGCATCAGGACAGGAGGAACTCCTGAGGAACGAAACTGCAGTACGGAGCGCCGAGTCTCAGCTGCTCCCTTTATGGTAGCAACTGCAGGAACCTGGAGCAGAGACACATCTCAGCATCTTCTAGTCAGAGCTCATTGCACTTTCTAGAAATGTCCCCTTTGTGTTTGTAGTTTTCTGGCTTTATTCCCAAGGCAACAAGAAATGGGCTGATAAATGTTGACTGCTTTATAGCCCACCTTTTTTTTCCCTCTCCAGTCTTGTTCATCACCTGAGATGTTTGCTATGGAGATGTTATTGGGGAATACAGAAAGCCAAATATCTTCCTAAGTCCTGTCTTCTCCCCTTATGCTTCTTGAAGCTCACAAATCATATTTTCATTTTGGCTTCTGAGCTAGACTATAAAAACGTACTTTATTATACTATCCCTTTGCATTAAAAAAGACCTGCTACAGTGTCCAGCACAGGGATTTTAGAGGAATGTTCTTGATAATATCCCACTCCAGTTACCAGTGTCACTCTCCCCACCTCTCCACCTCATCCCTTTTTCATCAGCTTCATGCGGTAAGTCACTATTTTCTATCCACATTTCATGCAAAATGTCTGCTTTGCTGTTTGTTACTTTCTTCTCACAGCGACTACTTATATACCTATTATCTCATTACACGTGATGGCCACATGGTCTGCTACTATACTTCTTTTAAAATTTTTCCTGTAGCATTTTATAGAACACACAATATTTTATATAGTCATCAGGTGTGAGGCTCAAGATAGCCTTGAGTAGCAGGCCAGGTAAACATTATCCTAGCTTTACAGGAGGAGTAAATTACTGCCTTGAGTCACGAAGTCAGCAAGTACTACTGCGGAAACTTGAACTCAAGCCTTTGGGTTCCAAATCACAGCTTCCTAAACTTAACACTGCTCTTAAGGGCAAATAGCAATAACACCACAATAAAATACACCAAAAATTTCAACATGTCCCTGTTTCCTAAATTCATGTAGCCACACAGAACTGAAAACAGCCTTTAGATAATGAAGTTTAACAGACCTCACTTTATACACTGTAGCTCCTTAGGCAAGGGTCTCTCTGATGTATCCAGCATTATATATTTCACTACAGACTCACCAGTACTTGAACCTACCAACTCCCAGTTGCTATATTTTCTGCTACACTTTTTAGTCTTATTGCCTTAAATATGTCTCAGCATTTTTAGCTTTTCAGAAGAAGCACCAGTGACATGTCCAACTTTAGTTTCTGCCATTTTAAAGATGTGCATTTGCTAAAGACACATCTTATTTCTTACTCACCAACAATCAGATCATCCCCATGTAACCCTGGGTAGGAACTCACATTGCTCCCCAAGGTCCCTACAGTGTTTCCAAATACTCTACAAGCCCTAAGCAAATTTCACCCCCTCCGCAAAGCTCTTATTGGCTTCTCTGGATTTCAAGCAACCCATCTTCCCAGAGTTGTCAGGGGACTTGTAGCTTCCATCACACGATTCCACAAATCAAAACCCCTGAGATCACCTGCTTTATTTTACTATATTTGTCTTCCTGGTCCCATTTTGTTCCCACATCACACTTCAACCAATGGTCACAGCTTTCTCCTCACTAAGGACAGTTGATACAGGAAAAGCTGGTTCCTTTTCCTAGAGTACCTTTGCACCCACACTTTTATTAAACTGTCCTGAACACTGCTGCTCAGCCTGTCCTTCTCAGCTAAAATGCAGCTTCATCCAGAAATCCCCTACTGTCTCCAAGGGACATGGGAGAGCTACCTTCTGAGTCCCCACAGCATTCTGTACACTACTTCTTCAGCTGAGATGGAAGGTCTGACTGGACTGGACTGATGTCTGCACTGTGCTTCCTCTCTGAAGATTCCTCAGTACATACTAAGAACTCCAACTCAAAATTGGTGCAGAATGCTTGTTAAATGAATCATAAAATGAAATGTTTATGCTCATAATAAGAAGACTTTCTGTGTGCATTTAGCATATGAAATAAATATGAATTCAAAGTTTAGAGAGAAAATATATACCAAGGAAGCAGATCTTGGGTATCACAGGCACAGATCAAATTTCTTTAGCAACCATAAAATAAGGCTGGAGAAAGAGCAACTAGCACTTTATTTAGATATCACTGTTTCTGAGTCTCTTAATTAGAAGAAAGCTCTTCTCTCCAACATGTTCTTTCTAGAGTTAAAGCTGCTTACCTTTGCACCAGGGTTGTATATGTTCTTAAAGCCAAAGTTCTTAATATCTAAGGGGATTTGCCCCCAACCCACTCCCTACTGGATGAGCTTACATTCATCTTTCCAGACAACATCAGAGTCCTGTCTGACAACTCCTCTGACTCCCTCTCCAGTTACCTTGTTTTCCGCTCCCACAGCCCTTCATGCAAAATTCCATTACAGCATTTAATTCATGGGACAGCAACTCTTCTTCCTCTGTCTCCCTATCTGGGTTGCGGCATTCACCCATTTCATGTATAATTTTTAAAGCTTAGCAATGTTTACCACTTTTCATGCACCAAGTTTTTTACTTGTACTTTTTGTAAACAGAAATTTATTTTGTTTATTTGAAAGGCAGAGAGAGAGAGAGACAGACAGACATAAAGGTCTTCCATCCATTGATTTATTCCCCAAATGGCTGAAACAGCTGGGACTGGGCCAGGCCAAACCCAGGTATCAAACATGGGTGACAAGGAATCAGGTGGAAAAAAAAAGGACTCAGGTACTTGGATCACCTTCTGCTGCCTTCTAAGGTACATTAGCAGAGCTGAACTGGAAATGGAGCAGCCAGGACTCGTAATGACACTCGAAAATAGGAAGCCAATATCAAAAACCCTTGCACCACATAGCCAGCCTGTACTCATGCATTTAAAAGGTAGGGGTGAAGAAAAAAAGGGAAAATAAAAAGAGAGAAAGCAAACTTTGTGGCTAGTTTCTGTTGATTAGAAAATTTGGAAGCAAATGACAATGTCAAAGCTATCTTTGCAGTAAACTTCTTGCATTTATTCTACAGTTTCTTGGGTATCAAGACTAGATGTGGGAATCCACTTTCTAGTGTGCTCAGTGTTGGTGGATCATTGAAATGTGGCAGTGCCAGCCTCACAGTTCCAGCATCCTAACAGCTCCACAACAGCTCCAGGGTGTGTTCTTGAACCAAGAGCTCTAGTAAGGAATTCAGAGGTGTTAACTTCCCAGTAGTCAATCTGGGGTCAGTCCTGGAGGCTCAGCCTACAATCCTCTCTCTTACCACTTTCAGTCATTCTTCAAGCACATAATTCTCAATATTAAAATCCTTCTTGTTTAGTTGCCAGCACTGTGGCATAGCAGAGTAAGCCGCCTCCTGTGATGTCAGTAGCCCATATGGTTGCCAGTTCGTGTTTTGGCTTCTCCACTTCTGATCCAGCTCCCTGCTAATGGCCTGGGAAAAAAGCAGTGGAGAATGGCCCAAGCACTTGGATCCCTGGAACCCATGTAGGAGACCTGGAGGAAGTTCCTGGCTCCTGTCTTCAGCCTGGTGCAGCCCTGACCATTGTAACCATCTGGGGCATGAACCAGTGGATGGAAGATCTCTGTCTCCCTTTCTCTCTGTAATGCGGCCTTTCAAATAAATGAATAAATATTTAAAAAAAAAACTTTCTTGCTTAAAATACTTACAGTGGTGATTTCCATTTCCCATAGTGTAGCATGATAAATAAAATATGAACAGCAAAGGAGGAAGAGAGGAGACAAAGAAAGAGGAGAGAGAAAACAGGTGACAAAGAATCCCCAGCACATACGGACTCCATCCCAAATCTGCATGGAGATCCACTCTAGCAGGATTTCTAAGCAGGCTAAAACTCTCTTTTGTGTTCCTGTCTGGGAAAACTCATCTCTTTGATGTCTGATTCATCTCCTGCAACCCAAGGGAGACTTTCCCAAGGGTCTGAAAATCACTCTTTGGAAACACAATCATCAGAAGGACAGGGCCTCTGTCTTCCAGTCTCTGAGATGACAGAATCCTAACTTTGAGCATTGGCAGCTGCTCGCACGTAGTGACGAAGCCTTGATAATTTCTCACTTCCCTGCTCCACTTGAGCATGCACTTTATCCTGACCCGACTGCCTCATTTTCCCTTTAAGATGCCCACTTACTTCCTTCCAGGCAAAATAGGCTGGAGCTCTGCCCTCTCTACTGTTGCCGACAGTTACTGAATAAAACTTTTCCTTGCTTTAACTCTCTTTGCTCATCTTTGACAAGAGAAAGGCCTATCCTTTTTATTCTTTTATATTCTTATTCTATCCACTGATATCCAATTGAATCATAAGAATGTATTCTGGGGGCCAGTGGTGTGGCGTAGTGGGTAAAGCCCACTGGCTGCAATGCTGGCATCCCATATTTGCACCTGTGCGAGTCCTGGCTGTTCCACTTCCAATTCAGCTCTCTGGGAGAGCAGCAGAAGATGGCCCAAGTCCTTGGGCACTGCACCTGCATGGTAAACCGGGAAGAAGCTCTTGGCTCCTGGCTTCGGATCAGTGCAGCTCCGGCCACTGTGGCCATCTGGGGAGTGACCCCAGCAGATGGAAGACCCCTCTCCCCGTCCCTCCCTCCCTCTTCCTTTCTGTAACTCTGTCCTTCAAATAAATAAATAAATCATAAAATTAAAAAATGAATGTATTTTGCCTATAAATACTTCACATTGGTTAATTTTAAATTATCAAAATTACTAAATGCATAATGATTTTCTATGGATGATTATATAAAGTCACATCTCAGACTTTTAATGAGGAAGATGTTTTCTTATCTCCAGAATATTTCACAAATGATGTTATACAAAGTTGACAAAGTAAATGCCTTAAGTACTACTCAGTACTATAAAGTAATCCCAAGAATGTCTGAAATTTATGGCAAAACACTTTTCAATAATGTGTCTCCAAAATTCATCTGATTATTGAAGGAACTATAACTTAAAAATAATAATTTATTTATACCAATGATATCAAAAAGAAATGTCCATTGTTGCTTTCAAAGAGAAATTGGCCTGGAGTAGAGACAGACTCCAAGACATCCAACCTCGTTTTGGTCTTTGATAAACAGAAATATTGGGATAGGCATTGTGGTACAATGGATTAAGCCATTGTTTGGGATGCCAGCATTCCATATCAGAATCCCTGGGATAAAGTCTCACCTCAACTTCTGATCCACCTCCCTGCTAAGGCTCCTAGGAGGCAACAGATGATGACTCCAGTGTTTGGGTTCCCACCACCCATTTGGAAGACCTGGATGAAGTTTCCAGTTCCTGGCTTTGGCCTAGCTCTGCCCCTGGCTGTTGCAGGCAATCGGGGAATGAACCATCATATAAACAATCTCTCTCTCTCTCTCTCTCTCTCTCTCTCTCTTTCTTTCTCTCTCTCTCTGTGTGGTGGGTATGCGTGTGTGTGTGTGTGATGTATGACCACTCTCCCTTTCAAATAAGTAAAATAAATCTTAAAAGGAAAAACAGAAATGTTTCAGAGGAGAATAAATTCCTTGAAAAACAGATTGTTGCTATCCTCATTTCATGTAACTTTCAGGTTTTGTATTTGCAAGAAATGAGTAACTGGTCACACACACAAAGTCCCATTCTTTAGGTTCAGTTCTCTTGAAGGGATGAAAGTGGTTAACAAGGAGCTGTGGATACTTCATATTCTAAGCATAATATATAAACGTTTCTGACTGGGAAGAAAGAAATTGCTGACAAGTGTGGTTGTGGGTTAAACTTTAAGTGCGTGTGAGAAATCCCCTGTTGACTAAGTGCCAATTCACTGTCATCCCAGAGAGTCATCTTCTGGACATTCCCTCTGAACTTTTTTATTCCTCCAAAGGAGTTCATGCAAGGAACTATGCCATGGTACGTTTTTTGCTAAAAAGAAAGCACTTTCATGAACAACTTGAAAATTTCCAGTAACAATAGCCTTATCACCATTTTTCTCATTACTCCTAATCATTTGTAATGAGAAACCCATGAAATATGTGAACCATCTGGAAGCGAAAGCTCTGGCCTGAGAAGCAGAGGATCTCATTTAATCCCTACCTCATTAATTCCCAGTGAAACCTGGAATGTTTATTTCTAAAAGAAAACAGTAACCTTTTCCACTTCTAATCCCATGGGAACAGCACAAAGATTAAAAAAAAAAAAAAGTGCACCAAACTAGGTGAAGTCTTTTGGGAAGATAAACATTGAGGCTACAATATCAGCACTATAATACCAATTACTTGAAATAATATTACAAAAACTAAATGCTCTGCAATTTTATAACAGGAGAAGGAAAGCTGGCTTTGGGAGTTCTGTTATTTTCAATGTCAATTATTGACATAAATATTTCTTTCATTTCTTTGAGACTTAAAAGTCAAATTCTACATTACTGAGGAAACTTTCTGTGCCAAGAAATTTAACTAAAAATGCCTGATGGGATTGTTCCTACTTTTAAGGAATACCTCACTGAGAAAACTGACTACTTCACACCATCAATTTCTCTTTTAAAAGTAATGGCAGGAGTCAACATTGTGCTGCAGTAGGTTAAGCCACTGCCTGTAGTGGCAGCATTCCATATGGATGCTGGTTCAAGTCCCAGCTGCTCTACTTCTGATCTAGCTCCCTGCTAATATCCTAGGACAGTAGCAGACGATGGCCCAAGTTTTTGGGTGCCTGTCACCCACAGGTGAGACCTGGAAGAAGCTCCTGGCTTTGGCCTGGCCTTGCCTTGGCCATTGTGGCCTTTAGGAGTGTGAACCAGTGAGTGGATACTCTCTCTCTCTCTCTGCCTTTCAAATAAATAAATCTTTAAAAGAAAAAAAAAAGTACCATCAATTTGAAAAAGGCATACATGTGGGCCAGCACCCTGGCTCACTTGGTTAATCCTCCACCTGTGGTGCTGGCATCCTATATGGGCACTAGGTTCTAGTCCCAGTTGCTCTTCTTCCAGTCCAGCTCTCTGCTGTGGCCCAGGAGTGCAGTGGAGGATGGCCCAAGTGCTTGGGCGCCTTCACCCACATGGGAAACGAGGAGGGGGCACCTGGCACCTGGTTCCTGGCTCCTGGCTTTGGATCGGCACAGCACCGGCCATAGTGGCCATTTGGGGAGTGAACCAATGGAAGGAAGACCTTTCTCTCTGTCTCTCTCTTTCACTGTCTATAACTCTACCTGTCAAATAAATTTAAAAAAAAAATTTGAAAAAGCATGCATGTAAAAATTCACTATTATGGTCAAAGGTTTAGAGGCACAGTGTATGGGATTAGCTAAACTCAATGTTCTGGCTATAATCCCTGTTGAAAGCCACACTGGAAGTCTGGATCAAAATCATGAGCTGAGATGGCAGCTAAAGCAAAAATGTGAACTCGCATTGGCTAACAGTAGACCGAGGAAGGGCCTGTGTGTGGGAATCTACCTGAGGGGCTCAGAATAACTGGGTGTTTGAGGACACAGAGGGAACTTTGAGCCACTCTCCAGGGAGTATAAAAAATTATTTCAACATTTGGAGTTGGTTTCTAATCAATCTGTTATGGTTTCCATGCTCTAATGGAATGATATCACAGAGATTCTTCGTTGATGTCTGAAATGATGATCATCACAGTCCCTGCACAGCCTTCATGACAGAATTACTCACTTTTGAAGTACAGTCTGGGCTTCTTTCATACATTTGTGTCTTCCCTTCTTCACATGGTCAGCAAAAGTACCACAGACCCCACGGTAGATGGAAAATGCTGACACATGTTTTATGCAAGTCCATTTTAATAATATATCTTCTTGAGTAACAGAAATAATTATTTTAATTAAATATAAACCTGTTTAGCTTACTACTGTTGAGTTTTGTTGCAAGTCAAAAAAATAAATGAATATACAAAAAATAAAACCTTTTTGCAAGAACACTCAGACTACCATCTACAGTCCTTGATGGGAATGATCAGCTTCTACTTTCCAGCCAGGCTTCACATAACAACTCATTTTCACTTCCCACATTTCCTCGTAACTCCATCAATGTAGGTTCTTGCAGCTCTTCATAACTCACATATCACAATATGGGCAAAAACATAGCGCAGAGGGTTGGTGCAAAAAAGACAACAGTTAGGAACATCAATTCCTCTTATCACTCAAAAGTCAGAGGAATTTAGTTGTCTCTGGCTGGTTATGTCTCCTCACTTTTGAAAAAGTATAGGAAAAATCGAGATGAGTTGTCACCCATTGTTTCTCAGAAATAACTATGTGTCTGGATCCAGCTCCCTGCTGATAGCTTGGGAAAATCAGTGTTTGGGCCCCTGCCACCTACATGGGAGACCCAGATGGAGGTCCTAGCTCCTGGTTCCAGCCTGCCCAACCCCTGGTTGTTGTGGCCATCTGAGGGGTGCACCAACAGATGCAAGATCTCTCACTCTTGCTGTGTGTGTGTGTGTGTCCTTCTCTGTAACTCTTTCACATAAATAAATCTTTAAAAAAAAGAAAAGAAAAAGAGCCATGTGTTGAAATTGAGTCTGTTCACTATCACATGAATCACACAGTATTAGGTAAGATCATGGCAGAAGCTAGAAATATAAAATGAAGGTTCATGAAATCCATTTTATTTTATTCTTAAGTTTATTTGACAGATGGGTAGGTAGGTAGGTAGACAGATAAGAGATCAATCAATCTCCTTGCACTGGTTACTCCCCAAATACCCACACAGCTGGGGCTAGGTCAGGCTGATGTCAGGAGACTGAAATTCAATTTGGGTCACCCATGTGGTTGTCAGGTACCCAACCACTTGAGTCATCACCTGCTCTTCCCCTTCTCCCTCCCCACCCCCCACAGGGTGTGCATCAGCAGAAAGATGGAATTGGGAATGGAACTGGGACTCAAAGCCAGGCACACTGGTATGGGATGTCAGTGTCCCAAATGATGTCTTAACTGTTGCACCAAATGCTTGCCTTCTTCATTTTATGTTAGTGCAACAATTGAGTATATAATTTTAAATAATGAAAAATCAAGGACAAACACTAAACCCTACATGATGATTAGACATAAACATAAAGCACAAGCCACAACTATCTTAAGCAAGCTAGTAATGAATGTGAGAGAGAAAATCAGAAAATTAATACTGACAAGAAATCTCAAATGAAGAAAAATACAAGTGAGCAAACTGAATTCTAATTTTTTTACTTTTTATTTTACCATTTCAATAAATATTAGAAAACTTCAAGCAAATAGAAAAGTGTGAATCAAAACAATCATTTTTATCACCTAAATGTTAACTTTTCATAGTGGCACAAGGAGTTGAGTGGCTGCCTGTGAGACTAGCATCCCATATAAGTACCAATTCAACTCGTAGCTGCTCCACTCCAGATCCAGCTCAATGCTAATGTGCCAGGGAAAGCAGCACAGGATGGACGAAGTACTTGGGCCCTGGTACCCACATGACAGCCCTGGAATAAGCTCCTGGCTCCTGGCTTCAGTTGCTATGGCCAGCCCTGGTCATTACAGCCATCTGAGGAGTGAACCAGCAGATAGAAGATGTGTGTGTGTGTGTGTGTGTCTTTCTCTCTCTGTAATTCTGCCTTTCAAATAAATAAAATCTTTAAAAAACATCATGACCAACTGAACTTCAATTTCATTTTGTCTTAGAGTGCCAAATATGTCACTTAATTAAACCTATCAAAGCACAATTTTTGCATGCCAACTGAAAATACTTTTATTTAACCACTGTAAATGAAGGAATTCAGGGACTTTGATCTGAGTTAACCTCATGAAGTGAGCATTGGCAACAAGGGAAAAGCATGGAGGAAGCCACCTCTTGGAACTGAACTTGATACTTCTATGAGTTCTTCAGTACTTCTCTAACAGCCTTGATTGTGTTCTGCTATGCATTAAACAGAACTGTGCAATTAGTATGCAGCGTCTTCTCTACTGGGAAAATAAACATTATTTTATAAAATAAACATTTATTATTATATTACTATGCATTAATTACAGCCATATGTCTTGAATTGCATAGATGATGACAATAATACAGCAACCCTTGTGAATTTGCTAGAATTAAAATTACACACTCCTTGGGGCTCACATTGTGGTTTAGTAGGTTAAGCCACTGTCTGCAATGCCAGCATCCCATAAGGGCACCAGTTTGAATACTGGTTCCTCCACTTCTGATCCAGCTTCCTGTTAATGCACCTGGGAAAACAATAGATGACCCAAGTACTTGGATCCCTGCACCCACGTGGGAGACCAGATGAAACTCCTGGCCCACCACTGGCAATTCCTGTGACCTGGGGAGTGATCCAGGGGCTGGAGGATTGTGTGTGTGTGTGTGTGTGTGTGTGTGTGTCTGTATCTCTTCCTCTCTCTCTAAAACTGTGCCTTTCAAATAAATAAATCTTTAAAAAAAATACACACTCTTCCTTTCACTTGAACTTATCTTTTACCATAAAATTTTATCTTTACCCCACATTATTCCTCAGAAGTCTTCAAAACTGCTTACTGGTAACTAAGGATTTTAACTAAAAGAAAAAAAAAAAAAGTAAGAGAGTAAGCCAAAAACTTCTAACCTGCTCCTGTTGCTGCCCTGCTGAAAAGTAACCAGAAAATGCAGCCTCTTTTTGAGCCGTCTGAAGCCGCATTGGGGACAGGGTGGAGGGTGCCTTTGGTGAGGAAGCCCCCGCATTTCCCTGAGTTCTTGACACAGATACCCGCATCTATGCCACCTACAGAGCTCTGCACCAGTGTACTTGCCCTCATTCTTCTTTCTCCACGGGTCACCCTTCAAGCAGTACTCATCATAATGCATAAGATAATTTAGCTCCCACTCAGCAAAAACTCAATTTGAACTCATTTTGATAATAAGTAGTCAAGTAGATACACTTTTAAACTGAGCTTCAAAGTGTACAGAGTAAGCGTTAGAGCGGGCTAATATAAATTGTGAGTGATAATTCTGCCCCAGAGTATCTCCTTTTAACCACCAAGTAACAGATAAAATCCACACAAGGAGGAAATGTTTTAATTTGCAACAAAGGCAAGAGTACTGGGTAAAAGGGCAATCCAGAAGGATGGTGGGGGTTTACAAATCAGTTTTCATCTAATGCATGATTGTGTCTATGATATGCTGTGCTTTTTTAAGTCTGAATTTTCAAGGTTAAAGTTTTCAGTAGCATTTCCTCCTCACCTAAAGACATAACTCCCAATAGTTTGTAACAGTTTATTATATATTTATTATAGATTCTTTATATTATTATATAAAGAAGTAGCAGATAGGAGCTTAAAATTTCTTAATACAAATAAATGATAAAGGTTTATGGAGATGGGAATGCTGATTTCTCTGATTTGATCTTTACATACTGTTTGTATTCAACATGTGTATTGAATTATCACACTGTACTCTACAAATATGCGGTTACCATATGTCCATAGAAACATTTCTTCACAAAAAAGACATAAATTCAGGCACTAACCACGTACTTAGGATGCAGCCTGTATCTGCAGCTAGTTTTACTTCTAGGAAATGTATGTGACTTGAGGTTTATGGCCTAAGCATCCAGTAAAGGTTTCCACTCTGAAGTCTCAGCAGTGAGTTAGAGCCTGCTCAGAAGAAGGAAAAGAACAATGGGAGGGATGTCCTGGTCATCAACACTCACACTAGCGTTTTCCCACATTTTAGAGCTATCTATCTCCATCCTGATGGAGAACCTGAGAAACTGTCAGCTTGACCATTTCCCTCACATTAGCTACCACTGAGGAAGTTCAAGAGTGAGACTGAGGAGGAAAATGGACATCTGAGGACAAAGCAGTCCCTTCCTTATGCACCTGTCCTCACAGGGGCAGTTGCCCAGTCCCTGCAGGGAAGTGTGGTCTCAGGTTTCAGGCAGAAGGGCCAGACCCCATCTTCCACAACAACTCCCAGCTATTTCTCTACCAGTTTCCTGGCTGACTCAGAGTTAATTAAGGCTTTGCCAAGCATGTCAGGGACATGTTTTAAACAATTAAGGAAGATGTTTCAGAGAGATTTTATATAAAGTAAGCTTACTCCATACAGTGCCAATTGCTCACTCTTGAGGGCAAACTTTTAACTAATAAGAGGCTATTCCAGACATTTGCTGCCACTAAAACACCTGTCACTCGTATTTCAGGGTATATGTCTTGGATGCAGATGTTTCTCTTGTGAGTAAAAAAAAAGACATATTAAAGACAATTCCAGTTGGATTAATACCTCAAATTACTAACTTATAGAAAATTTTACACCAATTAAACTATCTAAAAATAAAAACATCTTAGGTGGATAACCTTTGATAATGAAGGCAAAGGCCCTGGGTGTGTCTGGGTTATTAGGAGTCAGTGGATGAGGGAAAGGATGCGGGGTAGACTGGATAGCCACTGAGGATCGACTCAGACACCAGGGCTAATAATTCTAGCCCTGAGATTTGCTGCCTGTGTGAACTCAGGAAAAATGTTTAGCCTCCCGAACCTAGAGTTGCCTCATCTGTAAAATAGATTAAGTAGTCCTTTCATCTTAAAATCCATGTGAAGATTGGGTAATACACGGAAATGATAACACACAATGAGTTCTCAATGTATGTATTTTTGTAGATATGTGACTTTAAGTTTTAGGAAAAACCTCTGAGTCTCAATCTTTTACTATAAAGTAATATCTATCTCATAGAGTTGTATTAAAGGTGAACAAGTGATAAATGCCATTTCTCTAAAGCTCTTTAAAACACACATTATAATACATATTTTAAAACCTGTGTATCTTTCTAGTAAAGGACCATGGAAAGAATGAAGGGTAGAGTGGACAGTCATTGGGGATCATGTCGGACAGCAGAAGCAGCATAATGTCAGGGTACTTCAAAAATTTCATAGAAAATGGAATTAAAACATAAATTTACTTTGCTACAAAAAACTTTGAAATTCATGCATAGCTTTTTTCATTAGTATGTGTCGCTCCCCCTCTTCATGGAGGAACGACACTAAGCCCTGCCTAGGCTTCATATCCGAGCCACGGCACCATTATGTCGCTCCCCCTCTTCGTGGAGGAACGACACAGGACCCTGCGCTGTTCTTTCGTCTGCTCGGCACTCCCCGGGTTTGCTGCTGGTTCTTCCCGGGTTGGCTGCCGTCCCTTCCTCCTCCATGGAAGGGCGGTTCCCCCTGCCACTTTCCCCACTTCCGCAGGGGAGCGGCACACCACCGGCCGGCTCTCTCGGGGGCTGCACAGGCGTTCCCCTTAGATGTTCCCCTTAGATGTTCCTGGTGCATGCCGTCTCTCTCCTCCTTTATAGTCCTCTTCCACCAATCCCAACTCGGCTGCCCACACGCCGAGTACGCTGCTCTCCTCCAATCAGGAGCAGGTCCTGCTGTTTATTGGTTGAACTGGAGGCAGCTGGGTAGAAGCTGTTTTCTCCTCTCCCAGCGCCATATTATGGGAGAGCAGATGCATAGAATAAGTCTTAATTCCAGTAACTTAGTCTAGTCCGGGTTGCTCCCCACAGTATGCATTTTTTTTAACAGGGAGAGTTAGACAGTGAGAGAGCGAGAGACAGAGAGAAAGGTCTTCCTTTTCCATTGGTTCACTCCCCAGATGGCCACTACGGCTGGCGTGCTGCGCCGGTCCAAAGCCAGGAGCCAGGTGCTTCCTCCTGGTCTCCATGCGCGTGCAGGGCCCAAACACTTGGGTCATCTTCCACTGCCTTCCCGGGCCACAGCAGAGAGCTGGACTGGAAGAGGGGCAACCGGGACAGAATCCAGTGCCCAAACCGGGACTAGAACCTGGGGTGCTGGCGCCTAGTGAGCTGTGGCACTGGCCAGTATGCATTTTCCATATACTTTCTGGAGACCCTTATATGTCAAGAATGAAATAGAAATGAAGTGAATTTTTATGTGTTTGAATATCTAAAAAGAAACAGTTTGCATATATAATATTCAGATGCATGTGTTTACATGTCAGCATCAGTGATTCATGCAAAAACGTATGATCCTGCCAGAAAAGAAGCTTCAGAATTTAACTGAGTATGGCTATCCTCCCATTTCTGTGTTTTAAGTATGCAGCATAAGAAACACTCATAGATTCCCGGAAAGGGCCACACTGGTATGAGCTGGTATGAAGGAGTCCTGAATAGCTATTTTGTATATCTTTCTTATCTTTTTTTTAACCTATTTCCTGTACTGCAAAGAAACTCACACAGGATGCTTATGAAATAAGATCTAATTTTTCAGTCCACATATGTTACAACTGAACATCAAAAAACCCCTAGATTTCACAGAACTAACTTTTAGTGCTTTTCTAATGGAAAGCCCCTTGGTGTATAGGGTTCTCATAAACCACCTTGGAATCATAAAGTTGATCTCATGCTTCTCTCTCACCTTAATGCTATCTAAGTGTCTGTCTTTTCATGCTTTCATCTTGGCACAAAATATTGTCCTACTATGTGATCTTGAAAACATTAATTTTAAAACACATCCTGTAAAGAATCTCCTCACTGTAAAATTCATAAGATGCACTTAATGTAAGTGTATAATATGGGAATTTGAAGTCCAAAATATTCAATTTTTTTAATCAGGAATGTCCAATGAGGCATGCTGCTCACAAGTCAGTTCCTAAAATTCTCACTGATACATGGTCATTCTTTTTTTAAAAAAAGATTTTATTTATTTATTAGGTAGAGTTACAGACAGAGGGAGAGACAGAGAGAAAGGTCTTCCTTCCGTTGGTGTGCTTCCTAAATGGCCGTAACGACCAGAGCTACACTGATCTAAAGCCAGGAGCCAGGTGCCTCCTCCTGGTCTCCCACGTGGGTGCAGGGGCCCAAGGACTTAGGCCATCCTCCACTGCCTTTCCAGTCCACAGCAGAGAGCTGGATTGGAAGAGGAGCAGCCAGGACTAGAACCAGCACCCATATGGGTTGCCGGCACCACAGGCAGAGGATTAACCTACTGCGCCATGGCACTGGCCCCAACAAAAAATCTAATTTTGAACAGAACTAAAAATTTTGAGTCATTCCCAAGAATTAGGTAGAGATCTTAATATGCTAGTGAAATCTACAGTTTTGATACACTGATGAAAATTTCTGTGAGAATAACTATCATGAGGAAAAAACTAATTAAACTGATGGAGAAAAAACAAGTACCTAGTTTACAGTCCTGAAATATAAGTTGCCATGGAAGAACTCTGCTTGTGAGCTGTAAGCTCCACACCTCTGAAAAAGTTCCATGGGGTCGTCACAATGGTGTATTGGGTAAATCCAACGCCTGCAATGCTGACATCCCATGTGGGCACCAGTTCGTGTTCCAGCTACTCCATTTCCCATACAGTTCCCTGCTAATGGTCTTGGAAAAGCAATAAATGATGGCCCAAGAGTTTGGACCCCTGCCAAACATCTGGGAGACTTGGAAGAACCTCCTGGCTCTTGGCTGCAGCCTGGCCCAATCCTGAGCATCACAGTCACTTGGGGGAGTGAATCAGTAGATAGAAGATTCTCTCTCTCTCTCTCCTCTATCCCCTCTCTCTCTCTCCTCTCTCTGTAACTCTTTCAAATAAATAAATCTTTCAAACAAAGCAATTCTACATTATATTTCAACTTGGGAAAGATACAAATGCAAAAAAAGAAGCCATGGTAGTAACCTGTAGGACTAGCCAACTGGGGGAAAACTTCATCTGGAGAGCAAAATTTTCCTCTATATTGTACTGAGACAGTTCTCAAGGATCACCTGCCCAATACGCTTAGAGGAAAGTTTATTCCAAAGTAGTGACTGCTCTCGTCCTACAAAGCAGTGATTGAGAAACAGCATAGAAAAATGGAACAAGCTGGCTGGTAACGTGGCTCACTAGGCTAATCCTCTGCCTGCAGGACCGGCACCCTGGGTTTTAGTCCCGGTTGGGGCACTGGATCCTGTCCTGGTTGCTCCTCTTCCAGGCCAGCTTTCTGCTGTGGCCTGGGAGGGCAGTGGAGGATGGCCCAAGCACTTGGGCCCTGCACCCGCATGGGAGACCAGGAAGAAGTACCTGACTCCTGGCTTTGGATGGCGCAGCACCGGTCATAGCGGCCATTTGGGGGGTAAACCAACGGAAGGAAGACCTTTCTCCCTGTTTTTCTCTCACTGTCTAACTCTGCCTGTCCAAAAAAAAAAAAAAAAAAAAGAGAGAGAGAGAGAAATGGAACAAGCATGAACTCTGAATTCAGATTTCAGTTCTATTCCAAGTTCTCACTAAGTTAGAAAAGCCAATCTTTTTGGCACTTAGTTGTCAAATTGTATTAAATGAGGTCAATGGCATTTTTCTCAAAGGATTATGGTAAAGATTAGATCAAGCAATCTAAAATACCTAAGATGGTTTTATATCTACTATCTCAGCATTTTAGCATTAGCTATCATTATTACCTTTATTAGTAAAGTTACTTCAGTAACAATTCTGAACAGAAAAAAAATGACCATGAATGTTTCTGAGAAGATTTTTAAAATTTTTCATTTCTTTACTTAAGAAGGAGGGAGAAGGAGAGGAACAGAGAGAGAGAGAGATCTTACCCAGTGGTACATTCACCAGCTGCCTGCGATAGCCCACAGCCATGGCTAAGCTGGCAGTCAGGAACGCACTGAAGCTGAGACATGTGGCAGGAAGCCAATTACTTGAGCCTTTGCCACACCTGTTAGCAGGAAGCCAGAGCTAAGAGCTGCGGCAGGTATGGAAGCCTGATACTTTGATGTGGGATGTGGGCATCTAAATCTGTTTCTTAACCACTGGGTCAAATGCCTTCCCTGGAAATTTCTTTATAATCATTGCTGTACCTAACAAATGAAAGACTGACACAGATAATTGCGCCTGCATGAGCATAGCAAGAAGTAGCAGGAGGTAGCATACAAAAAATATCAAATATAAACTTTGCATCTGGGGGAAATATTCAGGTTCTAACTACTGAATTGGATTATAAATTTGTATGTTTCTAAATCATGGTGCAAAAATCGTTTCAATGTGATTTTCTGCAAGTATTGAAAAAATTAAAAGACATGATACTTTTTCTTACAAAAAAATAAACTTAAATAGCATTTTTAAAAAATCTGAAGATCAGCCCATTCTAGCTCACTTTGCTTCCCTGAGATTATCCGTCTCCAGATCACAGCCCTAAAGGTCACTATATGAAATCAATCTTTTGAAAGTGAATTTCATTTTAAGTTGCATGTACTATGTCAAAGTTTCCTTCAATGAAGAAAGCACTGAAGAAATAATGTGTTATTTAGAATGATGAAAAGGAGAAACTGAAGTGTGTTAATTATACTGATGAATTTCTAGATCTCCTTGTGACACATCAACACTTGAAAGTTATCATTCAACACAAGTATTCTAACAAAGCACACAGCACTTCCTTAATCATGCTTTCTGTTATGAATGGGGGAAAGTGTGGTATGGAAGTTACCCTCACAAGAGCTGTTTCTAGCTCAGACAGTGACGCACTGATTGACTCTAGACTAGTCATTTGACAAGCCATCAGCAAATGTGTTCATTCCTACTACTTCTTTTGAACCTCAAATACCATCACTTCAGAGACAAAATCTAATTCCATAACTTTAAATATTGAACAAATCTAGGCCATTTGATAAATCTGTACAAGCGTTATATTATAACCAACAGTAAATACAGTAAGTTCAGTACAGTAGTGTTCTGAAGCTGAAAACACTAGTCACATGAATATATGAATGAAGAAGGAAATTTTATATAAGTGAATTGCTGCCAATGTGTAATATTAAAGTAAGAGGAAATTAGGGCTAGAAAATAATTATGTCAATGTAAAAATAATACCCAAAAAATGGTCACTTAATTTTAGGATGCCACCAAGCTGAGGATGTCTGTTTTCAAAGATTTACTATATTAGAACTCTCAAGACATCATTAAAAAAAATAATGATTCCAGAGATAGGGGAAACAATTGTAGTGAACCTCATGATTGTATAGTTTATAACCACCTGGAGAAAACAGCCAAGATAAGGTGGAGGCCAAAGGAACCCAAGCAAAGTCCTGTAGTCTCCCTGAGTTCAGGAGGCAAAGCTGAGCATTCAAGAGATCAAAGCAAAGAGAACCAGCAGGAAAAAGTACCAGAAAAACAAAAAGCCACGCTAAGAAATAACTCCAGACTTTTCAGAGGGCTCCACTTAAGTATTCAGATAAATACTGACTAATACTTTTCTGTGATGAAAGCACCAGAGACCAAGAAAAGAATGACTTCAAAGGATTAAAGGAAATAATATTAACACATGACATAGGAACAGGATTTGTCCCAAATGCTACAGTGGAATTTTCCAAGTATTATATAGAGTACTAAGAATGACATTGTTTATCAATAAGAAAATCAACGTTTGATGACTATTACTTTGAGCCCATCAACAAAGACTCAACTGAAAATTCCTATCAAAATGCTTTTAAGGAACTTAATCATGTCCAAGAACAAAACACAAGACAGTTTATAGGGTTGCATGCAAAATAAATAAACATACAATTTCTGGCACCCAATCAAAAATTACTAGGCATACAAAGAAGCCTTAATCATGCTATCTATAATGAAGAGTAAATATTTCCCCTGAAATGATGCAGGTAATTCAATTCGTAGACAAGGACATTAAAACAGTTATTATAACTGTATCTTTTTTTAAAGATTTATTTTATTTATTTGAAAGAATTACAGAAAGAGGTAGAGAGAGAGAGAGAGAGAGAGGTCTTCTATCCACTGGTTCACTCTCCAAATGGCCACAATGGCCACAGCTGCCAATCTGAAGCCAGAAGCCAGGAGCTTCTTCAGGGTCTCCCATGTGGGTGCAGGGGCCCAAGGACTTGGGCCATCTTCTACTGCTTTCCAGGTGCATATCAGAGAGCTGGGTCAGACATGGAGCAGCTGGGACTTGAACCAGCGCCCATATGGGATGCTGGCACCATCAGCTGTGGCATTACCCACTATGCCACTGCACCAGCCCCAATAGAGTATCTTATATGTTAAAGACTTTAGAAGGAAGATTGAATATGTTAAATAAAATAATAGAATGTACAAAAACCACAAAACAAACTTCTAGAGATTAAAACACAATGAAATGAAATGAAAAATGCATTGGATAAGATAAATGTAATGTTGAACTACTGCAGAAGAAAATGTTAGAAAACTTGAAGACATAGCAATAAAACAATTCAAATGAAGCAAAAGGGGAAACAACTCAAAAAAGGGGAGAAGGAACTAAAGAATGAAAGGAAGGAAGGAAGAGCAATATCATGAGGTATTATCTGTTTCATGTGGTTTTGGATTTGGTTTGCTAGTATTTGTGAGAACCTTTGCATCTATGTTCATTAAAGATACAGCTCTGTAGTTTTCTTTTCGTGTTGTCTTTGGTTTTAGTAACAAAGTGATGCTAGCCTGATAAGAAGAGTTCGACAGAGTTCCATCCTCTTCAATATTTTGGAATAGTTTGAGAAGTATTGGAGTTACCTTTGAATGTTTTGCATTATTTAGTAATAAACCCACCAGGGCCTGAAATTTTCCTTGATGGAAGATCTTTTTATTACTGCTTCAATCTCATTGCTTCTTATGGATCTGTTTCGATTGTCTAAATCTTGATTTAATCATGGTAATCCAGGAATTTATCCATTTCTTCGAGGCTTTCCAGTTTTTTAGCACATAGTTCTTCATGGCAGTTTCTTAGGATCCTTTGTATTTCTACGGTGTCAGTTATAATGTCTCCTTTTTCATATCTAATTATCTGGGGTTTTTTCTCTTTTTTTCTATGTTAGTATGGTTAAAGGTTTATTTATTTTTATTAATCTTTTCAAAAAGTCAGCTTTTTGTTCTGTTGCTCTATTGTGTATTTTTGTGTTTCCATTTCATTTGTTTCTGCTCTGGTCCTCATTATTTCTACCCTCCTGCTGATTTGGGGTGTATTCTTGCTTTTCTTTGAGATGTAACATTAGATCTTTAATTTGAGACATTTTACTTTTTTAAATGTAAGAATTTAATGCTATAAAATTCCCTAATGATACTGCTTTTGCTGTATCCCACAGGTTTTGATGCATTGTTTTCATTTTCATTTATATCAAGAAAATTTTGCTTTCCTTTTTAATTTCTTCAAATTTTAAGTAATCATTCTGTAGCATGTTGTTTAATTTCCAAGTATTTATGAGTATTGTATTGTTCTTCTTGTTGTTGATTTCTAGTTTTATTTCTTTATGGTCTGAAAAGACACATGGTATAATTTCAGTCTTTTTAAATTTGCTGAGACTTGATTTGAGGCCTAATATGTGGTCTGTCCTGGAAAACTTCCTTGTGTTGATGAGAAGAATTGTATCCCATGGCTGTTGAATGAGATTCCTATAAATGTCTATTAAGTCCATTTGCTCTACTGTATGTTTCAAATTTGATGTATCTTCATTGATTTTCTGTCGGGATGACCTATCCATTTATGCGAGTGGGATGCTGAAGTCACCTACTATTTCTGTATTGGAATCTATCTCTCCCTTTTAGGTCTAATAGTATTTGTTCTATATATCTGCATGATCTTGTATTGGGTAAATATATACTTATGATTGTTACATCTTCCTTCTGAATTGAACAAATAAATGTCTTTCTTTATCTCTTTTTAGTTTTTGACCTAAAGTCTGTTTTATTTAATATTAGGGTAGCCACTCCTGCTCCTTTTGGGCTTCCATTTGCCTGGTGTATCTTTTCCCAGACCTTCACTTTATTTGTTTTTTTTAAGATTTATTTATTTACTTGAAAGAGTTACACAAAAAGAGACGGAGAGATAGATAGAGAGAGAGAGAGAGAGAGAGAGAGGTCTTCCATCTGCTGGTTCACTCCCCAATTGGCCACAATGGCCAGAGCTGTACCGATCCGAAGCCAGGAGCCAGGAGCTTCTTCCAGCTCTCCCACATGGGTACAGGGGCCCAAGAACTCGGGCCATCTCCTACTGCTTTCCCAGGCCATAGCAGAGAGCTGGATCAGAAGTGGAGCAGCCGGGACTTGAACTGGCACCCACATGGGATGCTGGCACTGCAGGCGCAGCCTTACCCTCTACGCCACAATGCCGGCCCCAACCCTTCACTTTCAGTCTGTATGTATCTTTGTTTGTGAAGTGAGTTTCTTATAGGCAGCATATAGTTGAGTTGAGGCTTTTTTTTTTTTTCATGCATTCAGCCAACGTAAATGTTTTGATTGGAGAATTTAATCTTGTTACAAGGTTAGAATTCACAGATAAGAACTAAGACCTGTCATTTTGTTGACTGGATAATAATCCACCTGCTCCATTAGTGAATTTGGTGTTGGCATGTGTTTTCATGTTTACTTCTAATAGAGGATGCCCTTCAGAATTTCTTGTAAGACTGGGCTGGTAGTAGTGAATTCTGTCACTTCTTTCTTATCTGGAAAATACTTTATTTGTTCTTCACATTTAAAGGATAGCTTAACCAGAAATAATATTCTTGGCTGGAAGTTTTTTTTTTCCTTTTAAGACCTTGACTATATCATCCCACTCTTCTGGTCTGTAGGGTTTCCTTCGAGAAGTCCAATGTTAATTTAATTGCTTTTCCTTAATAATTTGACACTTTTCTCTACTGTCTTTAGGATTCTCTCTTGGTCTTTAACTTTTGACAATCTGATGACAATATGCCTTGTAGAAGATCTTTTTTGGTCAAGTTTGCCTGGGGTTCTTTGAGCTTCTCGTACCTGATTGTCCATGTCTTTTTCAAGACCTGGGAAATTTTCAACTATTATTTCAGCTAGCAGTTTCTCAATGCCTTTTTCCTTTTCTTCTCCTTCGGGAATACATATAATATTAATACTTGATCATTTAATGGTGTCCTATATTTCATGTAGACTTTCTGCATTTTTTAAAATTTTTTCTCTTTCTTTATATCTGATTAGGTTTTTTCAAATTCTTGTCCTCAAGGTCACAAATTCTTTTCTCCTCTTGGTCTGTTTTGCTATTAAAGCCCTTAATCATATTTTTATTTCAATGACTAAATATTTTATCTCCAAAAGTTTGACTTGTTTCTTAATTACTTCTATCTCCTCAGTAATATTTTCACTCATGTCATTCATTGATTTCCTCATTTCTTTAATCTATCTGTATTCTCTCATCTCACTGAGATGTGATTCCTTACAATCACATTTCTAATTACTTACAAAACTATTATAAAATGTTTTTCCTCCAAGCTCCACAGACACAATTTCACATAGATGCCATCTTTCATAATTTTATCCCTGATAAAAACAAATGGAGGTAATACTTGCCCAATTGGATACAGTGAACCAAAGTTCATTCATGTAACCTGCCCAGTATCGCCATCTAACCACTATATTTTCTTTTTTCTTTGTCTTTATTTTTTATTTATTAAGAGACAGAGAGACAGAGTAAATGGGGAGTGGGGACAGAAGAAGAGATGGGAGGAAAAAAGAGATTCCATCTGCTCATTCACTACCAAAATGTTCATAACAGCTGAGGTTGAGCTAAGCCAAATGCCAGGAACAGGGAATTCATCAAGGTCTCCCACATGGGTGGCAGAAACTCAACAACCTGAGCTGTTACTTACTGCATCCGAAGGTGAATAAAGCTGGCACTGGGACAGGGACAAGACCAAACCCAGGCACCATCATATGGGATATGTGTCCCAAGTAACATCGTCACCACTAAGCCAAACACCCTGACAATAACCACTATATTTTCTAGCAGAGATGACCGTCCTTCCCTTTTTAATGACTTAAAGTGACAATTCAGACTAACACCAAAGGGGAGAACAGACTACACATCTCGCTGTGTATGCCATTTTCCACAATTACTGAAAAGAAACAGAAACCCAGGATAGGGAAACCTAAAATTTTGTAAATTAATGGAGGAGCCTTGAGTATAAAATGTCCTATCACTGAAGCAAAATAAATAAATAATTTTAAAAATTACTTTAGAGAGCAGATAGTAATTTGTTTTTCTAGAATTATTAGTAGTTTTGTTTACATTCTTTTCCTTCAAAATAGGAAGGGGGGGGCGCTGTAGTGTAGTGGGTAAAGCCGCTGCCTGCAATGCCAGCATCCCATATGGGTGCCGGTTCGAGACCCAGCAGCTCCGCTTCCGATCCAGCTCTCTGTTATGGCCCGGGAAAGCAGTAGAAGATGGCCCAAGTGCTTCGGTCCCTGCACCCACATGGGAGACCTGGAAGAAGCTCCTGGCTCCTGGCTTCAGAACGGTGCAGCTCCAGCCATTGTAGCCATCTGGGAAGTGAACTAGCAGATGGAAAACCTCTCTCTCTCTCTGCCTCTCCTCTCTCTGTGTAACTGTAACTTTCAAGTAAAATAAATAAATCCTAAAAAAAAAAAAAAAGGAAGTTGTAGAAAACGAAAGTGAAGCTAAGGGAAATGCAGAACTTTTTCCAATAATATCACACCTTTCTGGAAGGAGGGCCCTATCAGGCCTCCAGAGGGTTAGGGGTTGAAATGAGAGCTGTGAGTAGAAGCTACTGAATTAGACTACTAGCAAAGAAGGAACATACTTTCTCAAGGCAAAGCTATTTCTTGAGACATTTGAGACCTGAGCATGGAGTGGGGAACAATTTGGTCTTCTCTATTTAGTACCTTGTAACAGCTATGTGATTTTGGGTGTGCTATTTAATCTCCCAAACCTTCATTTGATTATCAAACATGAGACTAGTTACATATATTTCATAAGGCAGATGTAAATACTAAATGCCATCATCTTCCTAGACTGCTCAACATGATGAATATTCTCAGGAGCTGATGGGTACGCTTGTATAAGAAGTTAATTATAACAGACACTTCTGACTTGGGTCCTTAACATGTGAATAGAACAGTAAACTAAATATTACGCTCTAGGTAACTTTTTTTTACCATCTTTGCTTCCCCTCTGTTAGCTTTTATGGATATCATCAAGTAATATCCATAAGTTTTACTTGTTTCATCAAATGATATCCATAAAAGATGGTAAGACATACAGATGAAAGAGTTTTAAAGTGTTATGAAATGAGTGGGAAAACAGACACCAAAAATGAGTTGCAGAAGGACTAGAGAGACATAGGGAAGTAGGATATACTGACTGCATTATAAAGAACTGTCAGTAATGGGTAGCATTTAAAGAAATTATAAAGATAACCGGTAGAACAAACATGCAAACCCTCATGTCCCTGCCTATTTGGTATTAGTTGCCAACTTTTGTCTTCTGAGAACACCCTGTACTCAACTTTAATATATGTTTTGAAATTTCCCATTTATTATTATTATATTTATACTTGACTGCATGCTTTTCACATTTTTTAAACACTCCAATTGTATGATTAGCAGTAAGCAATGCTTCTTTTTTTTTTTTTTTTTGCTTTTTTTTTATTTAATGAGCATAAATTTCCAAAGTACAGCTTATGGATTACAATAGCTTCCTCCCCCCCGTAACTTCCCTCCCACTCCCTCTCCCCTTCCCTTCACATCAAGATTAATTTTCAATTATCTTTATATACAGAAGATCAATTTAGCGTATATTGAGTAAAGATTTCCACATATTGCTCTCACACAGAAACACAAAGTGTAAAATACTATTTGAGTACTAGTTATAACATTAATTAAACACCTAAGAGTAACTGTGTATTAATTACAGAGTTCAACCAATAGTTTTAAGTAGAATATACAATGCAACTTTTGTATTGTTGTGGCTCCCCCCCCAACCTCCCTCCCTCCCGTGGCCCTCCCCTCTCCCACTCCCTCTCTCATCCTGCCCTTCATCACGTTTCATTTTCAATTACCTTCATATACTGAAGATCAACTTAGTATATACTAAGCAGGGATTTCAACAGGCTGCACTCACACAACCGAACCAGGTATAGGGTATTGTTCGACTAGTAGTGTTGTTTTTGAGTTTCATAGTTAAACACATTAAGGACAGAGATCCTGCATGGGGAGCATGAACCCAGTGACTCCCGTTGTTGATTTAACAACTGGCACTCTTATTTATGACGTCAGCAATCACCCGAGACTCTTGCTATGAGCTGTCTAGGCTATGGAAGCCCCTTGAGTTCACCGACTCTGAATTTGTTTAGTCAAAGCCTTATCACAGTGGAGATTCCTTCCTCCCTTCAGAGAAAGGCGCCTCTCTCTTTGATGGCCTGATCCTTCTGCTGGGGTCTTGTTCACCAGGATCTTTCATTTAGATTGTTTTTTGCACCGTGTCATGGCTTTCCATGCCTGTGAGACTCTCATGGACCTTTTAGTCAGATCCGAATGTCCCAAGGGTTGAATCTGAGGCAGGAGTGCTGTTTTGGGCGTTTGCCATTCTATGAGTTTTTTGTGTGTCCTGCTTCCCCTGCAGGATCATTCTCTCCCTTTTGATTCTATCCTTCATTATTTGCTTACACTGGTCTTATTTGTGTAATCTCTTTGACACTTACCCTATCTTTTTGATCAGTTGTGTATTTATATTTATCACTTTACCAAGTGTGCTGGCATTGGGACCTGCCTCCTTGGTAAGGTTGAGTAACAATGCTTCTTTCAAATAACACTCTGGTAGGAAAGGTACTGCTGCCAGTCAGTGCCATAAAATAGTAGTGCCTGCATATCCTTGTTCCAGAGACTCCAGAGAAAACTCAGTTTGGAATCCCAAAATGTACTCCAAATCTCCCTAAATCCATAAGAGTTCAGAAGACTGTGTCTGGATAGAAGGTAGTGGGCAGTGGTAGGACACTGCTTCCGATGCTACAACTTAGAAGAAAAAACAAGAAATTTCTAAAAGTATCATATTTTTAAAGAAATCAGAGAGCTGTAGTAGCAGAGAAATAAATTAAGTAAAATCAGAAAGGGAAGAGACCTTCGTAGGTAGGCTGAGATCACTGGCCATTTTCTTCCCTGGAAATGCAACTCTCAAGCATGGGCATGGAGTTTTAGACTAGGCAGAGAAATGCTATACAGAAACAGAGGGGCATAGCAGCAGAACCTTTGGCAAGCCACAGGAGCTGACAGGATGGATTAGAATCTAGAAGAGACCAAACACACAGCAAGTTCTCGACTTTCGACATCTGTTTTGTGCCCTTGCTGCACCCTGAAAAGCTGCGTGAGATTCCCATCAGTTTGCACCTTGATGGCTTTCTAGAAAGACACCTGCCATGCACGACTGCTAAGTAAACCTATCAGAAAAAGAAACCTGGGAGGACTTTACTGCCTCACATCTATCAAGAATACAAACTCCTTGCACAGAGACTGGAACTCAAATTCTTACTCTAATCCATCCTGTTTCAATCACCTAGGACTGATATTCCAACTAACAAAAGGTGGGTGGTGGAGGTAATTGAATAGATGCTGATTTCCTTCCCTTTCTATGCTGAGCATCAAATGATATCCATACAGGTGAAAGAGTTTTAAAGTGTTACGAAATGAGTGGGAAAATAGATACCAAAAATGTGTTACAGAAGGACCAGAGAGACATAGGGAAGTAGGATATACTGGTTGCATTATAATGAATTGTCAGTAATGTATACCATTTAAAGAAATTATAAAGATTACCAATAGAACAAACATAAAAACCCTCATGCCCCTGCCTATTTGGTATTAGTTGCCAACTTTTGTCTTCTGAGAACACCCTGTACTCAACTTTAATAAATGTTTTGAAATTTCCCATTTATTTTTCTCTCTCCAGAGTAACACTTATCCCTGGAATCCCTAATACCATAAGAGTGACTAGTATACAATAAATATGTACTAAACAGTTGCCAAATAGTTGAACAAACCTTCAAATTAATCAGGATGAATACAGACACAACTATAACAAAAATATTCCATAATACATATTTACATTTTTTAAAAACCTATTTGAGAGACAGAGAAAAAGAGAGTATACTCCAACCCACTGGTTCACTCCCCAAATGCCTGCAGCATCTGGGGCTGGGTCAGGCTAAAGCTGAGAGCTGGGTACTCAATCCAGGTCTCTTACCACTTCAGCCATTACGGCTACCTCCCAGGCAGAAAGCCGGAGTCAAGAGTTGGAGAAAGGAATGGAACCAACGTGTTGTATTATGAGACTTGGGCATGTTAACTACTAGTAAATGCCCACTCCCAATTTGTATTTCGAAATAATGAAAAAAAAGCATACCACAACATGCTGAAAGAACTGGTTATTTAATCTGCTCATATATAAGACAACTGGAGGTCTGTCAACAAAGATGGAACTGTGGTTTCCTGAGGTCATCAGGAACTGAGATTCTTTTGTATTTCTGCTAAGTCATTCTTGCTGTCTGAATTTCCATCCTTTGAAATCTCATAGTTGCTCAGACAGGTGGAAAAGGGGGAAAGGCAAAGAGATAAAGGTATACTGGCAGGATCTGCCCTCCTTCAAAGTGCCTGGAAGTGTAATGGCACAGAGTAATTAAGTAACATTTGTTGAATGAATATAATGAACCAACAACTCTCATGACCATGTCTACTTGGGGTTAGTTGCCACATTTTACTTTCTCAGAATACATTATTCTCTACTTGGTAAATTTAATACAGGTCTTGAGAGTTCCCATTTATTTGTCTCTCTATAGAATAGCACTCACCTCCTGGATTCCCTGATGCTCAGAAGAGTGACTAGCATAAATAAGCATGTAATAAATAGCTGCCCAATAGTTGAACAAATTAGTGTAAGTCTCAGCCGTTAACCCATTCACTGAATAAGACTTTAATAGCTCATGTATACTGGGTACTACTCTGAATATTTGAGAAAAACAAGAGCATGTCTCATGATTTTCCATTCTAGTTGGGAGAGGCAAAATCAAAATAAACCTGAAACATCAGATTAATTAGCATCTTAGAATCTATTTAGTGCCATGAAAGGAAAAGCAGATAAAGATGACTGAGAGCCAGGATGGGGAGAGGTGGCCAATTCCAATTTCAATGACCATCGCTATAGGAGGCCTCATTGAAACGACGTTTGACCAACAACTTGAAGGATGTGAAGGAACTAAGCAACTACTCATTAGGAGATTTTCTAGGCAGAAGGAACAAGCAGTGCACAAACCCCATGGCAAGAATTGCTCTGATAGGTTGAAAAGTAGTTGGGATCAGTGTAGCTGAAGGAAGTGAGAGAAGGGAAGGGTGAAAGGTGCTGAGGTCAAGAAGTCATAAAGGAATCAAATGAAGTCAGGCCTCACAGGCACATATAACAGTTTTGGGGTTTTCTTTAGGTTAAATGGGGACAGCATCCAAAAACATGTTTTAAAGTAAGTATTTTTCATGAGTAACCCTTAAAGAGAGAATGACATTAGCACTGGAACTAGTTTGGAGAAGACTTGTTTGGAATGTTGAATTAACATCCATATGTATTCACTGATCAAAACGTATTTAATTTTAGAAAAATTACTCTAATTTTTTTCCTTACTAAACTCTATTCCTTACCATAAAGAAATGAATTTAAGTTTCAGTTTATTTTGACTATGTTTCAACAAATGTCATGCTTATCCGTTAAAATCATGCAAAAAATTTATTTCAGAGAAGTTTTCTTTGCTTGTAGAGCTTGACTGAAAGACTACAGATTCTATTGGAACATGGGAGACACAGTCCCATGTTCTAAGCTTTCAACAATCCATTGAGGTGCTCTATTTTTCCTCCTAATTTCACAAAGGAGGGCTGTTACCAAAGACAAAGGTTTCACAGTGAAAGCAGTTATTCATATTCTATCTACACACTCAGAAGCCAAAGAAGTTAGGGATGTATAAAATGAGAGAAGGAAGGAGGAAGGGAAGATAGTTCACATATAAAAATGCAAGAGTTTTATCAAGTTGAACAGTTGGAAAAGAACAAACAATGCTTATTGGAAAGAAGAAATATAGCCAGATAATAACAACATTTCTCCATAAATGTGGATGCAGTTTTAATCATTGATATCAATTATTGCTACTCAGCAATAGCTAACATAGTCATAGACTTTACTTGATATAATCATAGAATTTTTCACCTTTCTATGGGATCATAAACATCTGTGTCAGTATCATCTTATAGTTGTTTCTAGCATAACAGGTGTTTGATTTCAAAGCTAGGAATGCTTTCTACCAGAAAAAAAGTCTCAACATTTCAAATCTATTTAATGGTTAGTTCAAATAATATTTTGTACAAAATACAACTTTTCTCATAAAATAGAAGTTAAATGGTGAAATCATACATCCTGTATGATATTACTCTATTATCTTTGAAACAGATCCAAATAGGAGGGGAATTCTGTATAATGGGGAAAAATCCTAATATACTGATAATCTTGGTCTCAGCAGCTTTTATTTTTCTATGAATAGTAAATAATGATTCATCTTAAGATACTTAAAACATAAAGACATTTTATAGAGGGTAGACTATGCAATGTGGTCATCTACCACTTACATTCGTCAAGGGATATCATTTCCAGGAGTGAGCAGGACCACACAATTAATGACATCAAAACCATCCTATCACTGCAGTTTCCTTGGGAATGAATGATTGCTGTCTCATAACTAACAGTGAACTCAGGAGATAAATATATCTGTTTCAGAGACCTTCATGGATTTTGTTAGTGTCACTTTAACATTTCCAATACTAATCCCACTCCTTCCTGGCTTCCCTGCCTCCTTGCACATACCCAACCTCACACTGCAATCTGGGACAAGCAACACTCAGTCTCTATCACATGGGGAGGCAAACATGTGAAAAAAGAAACTCCATGCTAGAAATGGAACAAACACCCACACAAACCAGGCTTCTTTTACTTTTTCCATGCAATGTTTTTGATATGCTAAGATTTTACTGTCTCAACTAAGGGCAATGTCAAAACAGAATCAACTATGGAGAAAGGGCCAAAGTCACAAATAAGACACCAAATAGGGATGATGTGAGAGCTTAAAACCTTACAATGACAACAAAGAGAAGACAAAATTTTCTCAAAGTTACCTGATTTTCACAATTAAAATTACATTTTATAGCAGTTTATAAGTTTTTGTCTTCTGAGACAAAAGATAAAACAAGATTATGAGTTGTTCTAACTATGAGTTCCCACCAAATACACTGCCCTGGTTTTCTGCATTATCTACCCTCTTCACAACAGAGGAAAATGACAAGTTAGCTAATTTGATCAAACTCACACACACCAGGCAAAGTTATAACTTGGATTGAGCTCATAGTCCTGTGAAATGCAGAAAGCTTAACATTTCACTAAAATTCAATAAGCCAAAAGTTCTTTATTCATTTTTTTAATTAAAGAAAGGGAATAAATCAATCAGTTGAAAAGGACAGGAATTGGATTATGATGGTGGAGCAGGAAGGGAGCTTACTGCTCTAGTCTATGAGAAGATAGTTTAAAAAGTGGAAAGAGTACAGTGTCAGGGAAGAGTCAGGGAGAAAACTATGGAAATTAAGCGACACAGTGGGCCTACGTGGAGGGCACAGATGCACACGACTCGGGACACCAGCAGCCAAAGAGTCTATCTGGGGGTGGGAGTGGGGTAGGAGGGCGGGTATGGTGGGGAGAATCACTATACTTAAAGCTGTACTTATGATATTTATACTCCTTAAATAAAAGGTTTCTTTGGGAAAAAAATTAAAAAATAGAATTAAAAATAAAAATTTAGATCAGGCACAGGAAATTCTGGAATACCACAGACCATAAGTACCCATAGTAACAGTAAAAATCATGCTAAGGGTGGCCACTGTTTATAAACATCCAGTGGGTTTGACATTAATATTCAGAAAAAATAATACATACATACATAAACAGATACAAAAATTGAAAAAAATACCATTCTTGTATTAATGAGCAATAAGTAGTTTGACTTTTGTAAGAACAGAGTACATCAGGCAGCCTTGACTTTTTTCAAAGAAAATCACATAATTAACATGAAAAAAATGAAGCAAATAAGTCACTGTTTTTAACTACTTTAATGTTTAGTAAGACAAAAGGTAAATCATTGAAATAGTTTTTGGAAACTTGACATTATAATCCATTCATTGAACTGAGTCCCTAAGATTTATAACTTATCTACCTAGCAAATTCCCTCTGTGTACCAACCTTTCAGAACTTTCACTTTCACATCCATGCTACATGTATGTACTGAGCATCCCACCCCAGTTCCAGGTAATTCTGCACTGTTCTTACAGCATATACACCGTCCTTACACACTCTACTTAGTTGGACTTGGGAATAAGGCACTTGCTGAACATTTAACAGAGTAAGTTGTGACTGCATTCTCTTGTTCAAATGATTATAAATGAGAAGGTTATAATAAATAAAAATGAATCAATGCAGTGCAAAATTAACTACAGGAAAAATATCAATCAAGGATTCTTTTAGTATATTCAAAAATAACTTGGAAAATAGGCCTTATAGAATCTCATGAGCCCAGTTCACTAATGGTCCTAAATTCAATTTTCTTATAAGCTCTCAAATTACAGAAAATAGATACTCAATGTTTACTTTAAGTTGATTAGATCAGGGTGAGAAAAGAAACCAGATGCTTATCTTGCTCAGTTGCATTTACTGAGATCACTGAACTTCAGAGCTGGTAGATATTTGCTCTTATTAAAATTCTGTCAGCACATTTCTTTGTTTAGAAAACAAAACCAGAAGCAACTTTAAAAGTTTAATCTTTTCAGTCGCAAAAGACAGAAAGTAGGCATCAATGTCCCCATCAACACTCCATACAAACATAAAGATTCTTCAAACTCACTTTTGTCGAAGCTTTTTCAAATAAACTCTATTAAAGTTAGCTAAAACATTTTTGGTAACCCTACTAATAAGCATTGAAGACTCCAAAGGCCACAGGAGCCAAAAAAGGCCCAGGTAGTGAGTCAACTTAATGAGGAGTCACAGATGAGCTATCCGGCATTCATTCCCTGACAACTGAGGGGTAAGGCTCACAAAACTGTCTTTTAGAGTTCATTTTAAGGTTTGTAAAGCTGTATGTTTACATACAGGATTCATTCTTCCATGATCCTTAAACACAAAGATGTTTCTGCTTATGGAATGCCATTTATCTCTCAGCTGTGTCCTTTTGTACTTTCCACAGGTTACTGAATACAAATACTACAAGACAAGGCAAAAAACAAACAAAAATCCCCTATTGATTCTGTAACAAACGTAATAGTGCTTTGCTTTCTTTCCTGGTTTTTCAGAATTAACTATTCCTTCTGTGTTCCGTCCTCAGCACATGGACTCTAATGGCACTACTCACTTTGATTACTTGTTTAAACATCTGCCTGGCCTACTACACGTTGGACCCCTAAGGATACGGATTCACTTAGCATTATATTTGCAGTACCTTACATCTACCACGTTGCAGAAATGCAATGAAAGTTTGTCGAATTAAGATATTCTGCTTCGGGCCCGGTGCTGTGGCGCAGCAGGTTAATGCCCTGGCCTGAAGCGCCAGCATCTCATATGGGTGCTGGTTCGTGTCCCAGCTGCTCCACTTCCGATCCAGCTCTCTGCTATGGCCTGGGAAAGCAGTACAAGATGGCCCAAGTCCTTGAGCCCTGCATCCGCGTGGGAGACCTGGAGGAGGCTCCGGGTTTCTGGCTTCCGATTGGCACAGCTCCAGCCATTGCAGGCATTTAGGGAGTGAACCATCAGTTGAAAGACCTCTCTCTCTCTCTCTGCCTCTCCTCTCTCTAACTCTTTCAAATAAATAAATAAATAAAATAAATCTTAAAAAAAAGATACTCTACTTCAAATGTTCAAAATTTCTATTTATGTCACTGACTCTTCCACTACAGATAAATTTTTTAAAGGAGTTCCGTTTCTTTCTTTTGTTTATTATGTATTTATTTGAAAGTTACATAGAAAGGTAGAGAGGTCTGTCATCCCCTGGTTCACACCCCATATGGCTTCAATGGCCCGAGCTGAGCCGATCCAAAGTCAGGAGCCAGGAGCTTCTTCTGGGTCTCTCTCCAATGTGGGGATAAGGGCCCAAGAATTTGGGCCATCCTCCACTGCTTTCCCAGGTGCATAATCAGGGAGCTGAACTGGAAGTGAAGTAGCCAGGACTTGAACTAGCACCCATATGGGATGCTGGCACTGCCAGCCAGGGCTTTAACCCCCTGAACCAGAGTCCTGGCCCCTATTTTTATTTTTAAAATATAATCTCATACTCACCAATGTCCTTCATCCCCTAATTCCTAACATCCACCACAAAATTTAAGCATTATTATTGAGGCTCAACATCAGTTTAATAGATATCAAGGTTAAAAATCATTCAGCAAAACATTCCTTACTACTTCTCAGCTAGTAGGAATTATTAGATTCAAAATGGAAAATCAATCAAACAAAAATTAAAATGTTCCTCATTTTCACCATTGAAATTAATAACCATAATCTGAAATGTTTTACTGAGCCAGTCTTCTTGATATTTTAAAATACAACACTTAGGATTTTTCTTACAGAGGAAACTATTCTGTATGTCACTAAAATAGTATGCACATGTCATTTAAACAATGCACAGATGCACGGCACCAAACGTGAACTCTAATGGACTTTGGTGATAATGATATATCATAATAATTTTGATTATAATAAATATATTACATTGGAGCGGGCGCTGTAGCGCAGTGGGTTAAAGCCCTGGCCTAAAGTGCTGGCATCCCATATGGGCGCCGGTTTGAGTCCCGGCTGCTTCACTTCCAATCCAGCTCTCTGCTATGGCCTGGGAAAGCCGTAGAAGATGGTTCAAGTCCTTGGGCCCCTGCATCCATGTGGGAGACCTGGAGGAGGTTTCGGCGCAGCTCCGGCTGTTGCGGCCATCTGGGGAATGAACCATTGGATGGATGACCTCACTCTCTGTCTCTCTCTGTCTCTCTGCCTCTCTTCTCTCTGTGTAACTGACTTTCAAATAAATAAATAATTTTTTTAAAAATATATATATATATAACATTGTGGAGGGGTGATGACAGTGGTAGAGGTTGGAGTAGGGTGATGGGGGGATAATAAGCCAGGAACTCAATATAGTTTTCCTATGTTGGTGGCAGGGACAACTGTTTGAGTTCATTACTCCTCCCAGGATGCGCATTAGCAGTAAGCTAGAATTGGGGGTGCAGCCCTGGATCTCTGAAATGGTATGCAGGTGTCCTAAATGGCATCTAAACCTGTAAGGCTGTTCTGAAATCCTTGCAATTCCAATCAAAGTCATTGTTTCCAAAAAAGTTACTATTTGATGTCTTTCCTTAATGAATTTAACAAGAGTGGTCGGACTACCACAGTGAGAGATCTTTAGGGAACTCTCAGTGCCCTGCCATGGACTTGTAAGCCCTTGTTGATACAACTGGACCACAACTGCCTTGCTGTGGCACAAAAGGATTTGAGCGGCTAGCAAGCAGCAGCTGAGAGAGTATACACATTATGGCGTCACCAGGATGACTTCTACATTCAATCATGATGCAGGATTGAGTCTGAGTCTGAAAGCAAGCAACTGTAACTACTTGCAATGCTTGAACTTGACAGTCTATATTAGAGTAAATAAATGTTGGGAGGTTTAAAGCAATTACTTTACAATTTACAATTTACCCCTTATGTATTAAGGGGTAAATATTTATTTTGGTCTTGGACTACAATTTCCTAACAGTATCAAAAGAACATTATTTCTCGGCCAGCGCCGTGGCTCACTAGGCTAATCCTCCGCCTTGCAGCACCGGCACACTGGGTTCTAGTCCCAGTCGGGGTGCCAGATTCTGTCCCGGTTGCCCCTCTTCCAGGCCAGCTCTCTGCTGTGGCCAGGGAGTGCATTGGAGGATGGCCCAAGTGCTTGGGCCCTACACCCCATGGGAGACCAGGATAAGTACCTGGCTCCTGCCATCGGATCAGCGCGGTTCGCCGGCCGCAGTGTGCCGGCCGTGGTGGCCATTGGAGGGTGAACCAACGGCAAAGGAAGACCTTTCTCTCTGTCTCTCTCTCTCACTGTCCACTCTGCCTGTCAAAAAAAAAAAAAAAAAAAAAAAAAGAAAGAAAGAAAGAACATTATTTCTACAGATTACTTTTACTATCTAAAGAGGGTTCAGTTCTTTGAAAAATTAGAAATTCACTATTTCTCAAATTCATTTGGCCCCAGAAGTTTTGCTGCTGCTGTTCTGGGATGCTTATTAACATCCAAAGGAACTACTAGTGCAGAATAATGCTTGGGAAATTGTCGATATATTTAGATGACAATAATATTGGGCCATTTTTATTTAAAATAATATTTTATATCTGAAATTAATACATTATAAGAATAAAAAGAAATAATGAAATAACAAATAGGAGAAACATAGGAAAAACTACCAGACATGATAATGGGTGTCAGAGGTCAATAGTCTGCATTATATATAAAAATATTTATATTAAAGATAGTCTCATTAAAGTCAGGAAAATATTATGTTTATTATTTGGCAATGTTTGCCACATTCTAGTTATGCAATCAAACAAAAATAAAATGTACTATAAACACCAAGAAAAAAACATTGGGCCATTTTAAAAATCATTTTCCTCTAACATAACTTACAATTTTCTAGCAGATTAAAAGGTTAGTATAGGGGGGCTGGCGGTGTGGCTTAGTGGGATAAACCTCCACCTGAGGAGTTGGCATCCCAAATGGGCACTGGTTCTAGTCCTGGCTGCTCCTCTTCCAGTCCAGCTCTCTGCTATGGGAAGCAGTGGAAGGTAGGCTCCTGCACCCACATGGGAGAGCTGGAAGAAGTTCCTGGCTCCTGTCTTCCCATTGGCCCAGCTGTGGCTATTTAGAGAGTGAACCAGTAAATGCAAGAATTTCTCTCCCTTTCTGTCTATAACTCTACCTCAAGTAACAATAACAAAATTAAAAAAAAAAAGGCTAGGAAACAAACAGCATGAGTGATGATGATTTTAACAGAAAAATAAGTATGGACTGAATCACAGGAAGTATACAAACAAATGCCTTTCCGTCATCAGTCTTGGCGCCTTATCAGTTTTGTCTGGGTCACTTCAAAAGAAGTCAGTTTATCTCACTAGTGCTCTTTCCTACTGAATCATGTTATCTTTCTAACATCAAATGATGTCTGTTGCATACAATATAAAATATGCTCGTGACTATGTATAAGTGAACTTTATAAGATTATGAATGTTTTCTTCATATATTCTTTTTCAAAAATATTTATTCATTTATTTGAAAGTCAAAGTGAAAAAGAGAGGAACAGACAGAGATCTTCCATCTGCTGGTTCACTTGCCAGATGGCCACAAAGGCCAGGGGTGCCAGGCCAAAGGCAGGAGCCAGGAGCTTCATTTAGGTTTCTCACATGGGTGGCAAGGGCCCAAACACTTGGGCCATCTTCCACCTCTTTTTCCCAGGCAATTCGCAGGGAGCTGGATTGGAAGTGAAGCAGCTGGGACATGATCCAATGCCCACATAGAATGCCAGCATCACGGGTGGCAGCTGTACCTGCAATGCCATAACACTGGCCCCCCAAATATTCTTTATCCTAATGACAGAACCAGGACAGAAAAATAGTCTCCTCCCATTTACAAGCTTTATCTAATATAAACTGCTGTCCTTTAGTGACAAAATCCAAAGGAAATGTAAATGAATACTCTTTGAATAAGCCACATTCTACACAAACACTTTAAGAGCTTATATTGTACTTACCCTTCTACACTGAGAGGTGATTAGTCAGTCATTTAGTTCCTCGGTTTTTTTTTTTTTTCTAAATTTCAATCTCAATTAATGAGAGACTATATTTCTCTGGAGATACTGCCAAGATTTAGAAGATCATCTAAATACATATTATGGGTCTATCCAAATATATTCTTACTTTACCCTGACCTGTTTTCCCTGTGATATTGTGTGATTGTTTAGGATCAGTATATTACATATTATATCATATTTTTATGGCAAACATTCTCTTATTTATTTATAGGTTTTCATATATTTTGTTCTTTTCCTAGGAATTATTATGTAAAAAATCAATGTGGTATGATAGTTATAGTACTAATAAATATTAGACTAATATTAAAAGTTACGTATGCCATAAAATCATCTTATGTGTCACACACCTTGACAAGTACTCACATGAGAATTCCCTGCCTTGGATCTAAAGGATGAGTGTTGAAGTGGGAAAAAGTGACATTAACAACTAATAACATTCCTTCCTGCTAGATATATTAAAAAAATCAGATTTTTTTAAACATTGCTTCCTGTAAAAGAAAAAGAACAAACTTTTACAAATAATGTGATCAAGAGAATTTGACAATCAAGAGCTAGGACCAGGGGTTAAGCTGCCACCTCTGGCACTGGCATCACACGTGGGCACTGGTTTGTCGTGGCTGCTCCACTTCCTATCTAGCTCTCTGCTAATACATCTGGGAAAGCAGTGGAAGATGGACCAATGTCCTGGGGCCATGATACCCATATGGGAGACCCAGAAAGAGTCCTGTCTGGGCCCCTGACTTTGGCCTGGATCAATGCCAGCCATTGCTGCCATTTGGGGTGTAAACCACAAGATGGAGGATCTGTGTGTGTGTGTGTGTTGTATCCCTCTTTTTCTATCACTCTGCCTTTCAAATAAATAAAATTAATCTTAAAAAATAACTATCTAAAGCATGAGAATGGGGGAAGAGGTAACAACTCTAATATTGATTTCTATGTGACACAATAAGTACAACAAATGAAAGATTTTATTGGAATATGCATTTTTAAGGAATAAACAAGCATCTCCTAGAACCAGACTGATCTGCCAATGCTTTAGACACGTGACATACGTGAGAGTGCTTCTACAGGTTAAATATTTTTTCTCTTTCTTTCTAATCAAGTGACCTGCTCTCATTTGGTTAAGTTTCAACCACAAGACATCACTGTATGCTTTTTTCTTTAAGACATACGTCACGAAACACCAAGAAAGGAGGAACTTCCAGCGTCTGCGGTAACATCACTTGATAAACAGGCTGCTTTGAAAAGCAGACACTGCCTGCCTTCCCTATATAAAGCAGCAGACACATTAACTAACAGACACTCGCCGAGAGGACCATGCAAGCAGCAGCCATCTCCACGCCAAGGCTGGACAGGATGCCAGGAATGTTCTTCTCTGCTCACTCTGCCCACTCAAAGGAACTGAAAGAAACTGGTCACTCACTTCTAGACGACAAAACACAAAAAAAGAGGCCTAAGACTTTGTAAGTTCATTCGGTGTCTCACTTACACTGCCTTCAATGACAAACGGATTGTGAATGAACAAAGAATTGGGGCATTTAGTTTAGCCAAATCAGAGCAATTACCTGTTGTGACTTATTAGATTCTACTGTATTAAAAATCATGTTGTGGTACTAAATTAGGTGGGGACTTTTCCAGACATTAAGTAATAAAAATGGGCTCTATCTTAATATAACAAAATGTTTCATCAACTATTTTTATTATTGTCTTATGTTCTTAGATCAGTTTATCCCATGCTCTTTAAATTTTACAACTGAAATGAATTCTACTGAACAAATATGAATATTAACTTCTGTGTCTTTTGCAGTGGAATGGACATGAAAGCATACCTGAGATCTGTGATCCCACATCTGGAGTCTGGGATAAAATCTTCCAAGTGCAAGGACATGTACGTACTTGAATACACTGAACTGTCGTTATCACTTACAAGAGCAACCTCTGTAACAGCTCTATATCCTAGTGAGAAATTAATACTGCACGTAGTGGAATTTGTTTCTTTCAAGTAATATATCAAATAAGATTAGACTACATGAGTACCAAGGTAAACTAAATACAAACATATGTGCATATATTTGCTATTTATTTTTGCACTATCAGATTTTATCTATTTGGATTTTTCAAACTTTATTGGCAGATATTTTCACAAATATGATAATGCTAGGGAAAATTTTGTCTTTCCTAGAAAATTTTAGTAAGATTTATTATAACTAGAGTAAGTCTTAGTTTGTAAAAGTAATTAAAATGTAACAGCCACCCTGACTTCATTTGTGCTTGCAAAAAAAAAGGTATTTTATTACTTTACGTATATTTTGTCCACTTGCAGACTCTCTGCTGATGAAGTAATGCAGTGGTCTCAATCCCTGGAAAAACTTCTTGCCACCCAAGGTAAGTACAGATTAACTACCAAAAGTTGTATTTTGATTTTTCTGTGTTCACTGATAAGTTCAGCACAGATGCCTCTGTGTAATATATTGTTGGCTAACACTAAATTCTGCCACCAGCTTCTTCCAGGGCTAATAGATATTCCCCTTGATTAGTTCAGGAACAAAATTAAAATTTGTGCTATGGCTCTGAAGTTGAAAGTTTAAAAATAAACCAAATATCTCAACATACAAATTTCCATTTTGAAAGCCATCTGAAGAATGGATACTGTACAGCTGGATTAAAGCTCATGATTAATTTATTCAATTATTTATTTTATGAGATAGTCACTAATTCACTCATTCATCCCACCTTTATCTGTCAGGTACTAAAAATACACCACGAATTCAAAAACAAAAACACAGTCCTTACTAAACAGAAGGTATTTGAGGCATACAAAGTAAATGAGTACATTAACCATAACGTGATAAATTTAATAACCAGGATTTGATGAAGGCTTTTTTTTTTACTTGTATGTATCTCATAAATACAACATTAAGAACATGGTAATTCTTCCTACCACACCCGCCCTCTCACCTACTCCCCCTCCCCCCTATTTCCTCCTCCCTCTCTTGTTTGGTCTCAGAAAGAAATATAAACAGAAAGAAAGGAAAAAAAAGAATGGAATAATTAAAAAAAAAACTAAGATAATCTTTCCGCAACAAACCAAACAAGGGCTGTGATAGAAGGCTATTAAATACAAAGAATCCGGTGGGAATTTTTTGAGGAGAGACAGTAAAGAATGAAATGAGCTTGGCCTCCCCTTGTAAGGGACATTGTTTTTCTATCAGAGCTAGAGGTGTAGATAAGCTTGGTTCTATCCAGAGATTTATCCTCTTTTCCCCAGAATCACTCTCAGGAGTCTTGCATGAGAATTAAGTAATTCAACCTACTTCACCCATTTTGTTTTCTGACTTAGTCTAAAACTCAGCCAAACAAAGAAATGACACAGCAAAGGCACATAGAAAAGTCTCAGTAATACCAGCAAATAAATTCAGGACATAAGGCACACAAGTAATATACTGACCTCACATTTTTTAATTAAAATGAATCGATTGGAAAATTAGGTTTGTTAATTATTAACATGATATTAATGCCCTTTCAATGTCTGCTTCCCTAAAATACTTTAAAATACTGAATACTCTGGCTAAGACTTTGTATATTTTAAAAAGAGATTGTTTTATAATTAGCAGAGCAGAATTTCAATTTAAACAGCAAACAGAAGCAAAGCATAGTTCCGCAGCCACAAGGAGCAGCTCTGTGACTCAGGGAAAGTTTGTCTGGCCCCAGATTCCTCTTGCATCAATGAAGGATTCTCCAAGAACTTCCTTTTGATAAACTGTGATATAGCTAATCCAGCCATCTCTTCCTTTTGTACACAGAGATTGGGCCAGTACTCTTCTCATAAATTTCTTCAATTAATTTAATTTCTCAATTTCCTCCTTTTGTTTTAGCTGGTCAAGATGTTTTTGGAAATTTCCTAAAGTCTGAGTTCAGTGAGGAGAACATTGAGTTCTGGCTGGCTTGTGAAGACTACAAGAAAACAGAATCTGACCATTTGCACTGCAAGGCAGAGAAGATATATAAAGCCTTTGTGCATTCAGATGCTGCTAAGCAAGTGAGTATTGAGTTCATGACTATCTGTGTGTGTGTGTGTGTGTGTGCATAAGAACATAGACACAGAAACAGCTCTCAACAAGCACAGCACAGGATATTCTATTCGAATATCACTTTACTTCCATATGTTTAAGTAGATTCATATAATTCAGTGCAATGATAACATAATTCTCTATATTTGTGACTCAGTATAAAGAATGAAAAGACTGATTTTGTAAAATTACCTACTGTGACAGGGAGATGGGACATGGCATTCCAGGCCAGGTCTATATGCTCGAGGGCTGATCTTCCTGCTCTTAGATAAGGATAAAACATAGATTCCTATAATACATAAAGTTGCAGCAGCAAAAATATTCCCAGTTGGGAGCAGTGCCCACCTTCCAGTTAAATACGCTTTGTCCAAGCAGAAAATACCCACATAAAGAGTCCTGTCCTCTTACTAATGTTAAAGGTCCACATTACTCTTTCTCTGATACCTGCACCTCCTTCTGTGCATCTATACAGTTCAGTGTCAGCCTCTTTCGTATCTCCCAACTAGAGTATGAGCAAACCTGGAGTATCTAGCAAAGGCATTCCAGAGAAACGTGAATGGTTTTAAATGAGCATGTAAAGTGATTTTCTTGAAATGCTTCAGAAAACAACAAAATAAAAATTATAACAAATGAGGATTGCATATTAATTAGTTTGGAATCCTTTCAGATCAATATTGACTTTCGCACTCGAGAATCTACTGCCAAGAGAATTAAAGCACCAACTCACACATGTTTCGATGAAGCCCAAAAAGTCATATATACTCTTATGGAAAAGGACTCCTATCCCAGGTTCCTGAAATCAGATATTTACTTAAATCTTCTAAATGAACTTCAAGCTAATAGTCTAAAGTGACTGGCTGCTGGCAAAATGGCATTAGAAGATGGTAACAAGTACAGAAGGAACATGCCAGTGAGGCTCCCTGAACAACTTGCCCTTTTTGGGTGACTCAGTAGGTCCAGGGGAAGAACAAATGATTCCGAATGGATTAATGTGGAGGTTGTCCAGGTGTAAGGTTGAAGTATAAGCAAAATGAAAATTGAGAGACTGCAGAAGAAAGGAGATGCTGTGGTACTATCATAAGATACAAGTGGACTTCTGCATTAGAAAATCCTTCTGAATTGGAAACTGTAGTTGCACAGAAACTGTGAATAAAGGTTAAAAACTGTTTACAATGTGCTATAAGGTTCAAGGTCAACTGACATTTATGCCATGTATTATTATATAAAGATTGTATCGAGCTGCTGAAATCTATTTTTGATGATTATCTGAAAAAAGACATGTTTCAAACCCCCTATTATTTACACAAAGGTTTTTGGTGTTGTTTTGTCTATTTTATTGTTTTTGGCTTGGAAAAGATAAAGTCAACAGTGTATCTAAGAGTACTGCTCTTAAACTAGGAAGTCAGAACATACTTGTAAATTAAGTTATGATAGTATCAATAATAAATGTGAGTTTTCAATTAAAAACATATAGAAACAAGTTTTGTTTATGTCTCCTACTTTTTAAAACTGGCATTTATTCCTTAGATTTAAAAAGAAAATCAAACAATTGTCTTCTTTCAGCCACCTATTCAACATTTAAAACCAATACACAATTAACATATTTTAGGTGCTCTACTGGGCAAAATTCATCACTTGTCTCACATTGTTCTAGAACGATGCATACAAATCAGACACATATAGTATGATCTCTTGCATTTAAACTTGAAATCAATGAGAAACTAATGAAGTCTTTTAAAAAGGAATGAAAAGTTATTTCAACAAATATTCTAATTAACAGTTAATGTTTTACTGTGATTCAAAGCTTATAAAACTCACATGTATTTCTCATTTAATGTTTCCAGCAGTCCTATGAAAGTTGAGAATCAGAAAGATTAAGTCACCAATTCTCAAATGTAGCTAACTCAAATGTTGACATATGCACACGTGAACATGCACACATGGGCACACACATATACTTCTATTTCAGGGCCCCATCACAGACCGACTGAATCAGATTATTCAAGGGTATGAGAACCTATATTTAAAAGGAAACCTCAGGTGACTATGAAGGTGATCTGATAATCCAGAGAGTAAGGGCAGTCACATTGCCAGATATTGCCCACAGTTTCTGCCTATGCAACCTATGATTTCTACTATGCAATACCGCCACCCACTGACCAGAGATATTTCCTAAATCACTAAAGTGTAGCAGTAGTGTCACTTAAGGATAAGAGATCCCTTTCGAAGGGATCACCTACAGAGCACAGAAACTAAATAAGAAGACACATATTCCTGAACAGCCTGTGCAGCTGTATCTCCCAATTACCTGTGCTCCAAATCCTACTCAATCATCCGTCACCCTACTCCACAAGGAAATGCGATGCATGTTTTCACAAGCTGGCCCAGTCATAGGCACACAGTGATGGCAAGGGGCATTATACAGATCAGGTTTAAAAGGTTTTACGGGACAGAGTCCAAACTGGCTCTATGCTTCATTCCATGCTTTCATTGTATCATAAGAGAAACTTTGAATGGCTATGTCATTTCCTATGATGTATGAAATGAAGTCCGAATGTCTCCTCTAGACTTAAGCCCTCCCAGTGTGACCTTCACAGTAGAACTGCCATTACTCCCCCGGATTTCCTTCCTACCTTGATGTTCTCTGGAGTGTTTGCCTTTACTTGAACAAGCCCTGGTATACACTATCTTCAGCCTTTGGTTAATTTCTACTCTATATCTTAAATGCCTTTTACTATCCATTTCCAGTATTCAAAGTCCAACCAATTCTTCCAGACTCAGATGGACTTTTTCATAAAACCTCTCTGTGGTATCTTCCACCATTATGTGGTTATTTCAATGGCTGAGGTGAACTGCAATCCATACAAACAGGACACTCTGCTCCTATTTTAAGTACTCCTGTCATCAGAGATAGAATCCAGGCCTTTAAAGACTGTGAGGAGTCAGCACTACAGCTATCCAACACTACACATCGGTCATAAAACAAACACTGCTGGTCTTTGTCTTCATGAAATGCGATGTGAAGGAGCTGCTCGATTTTGGACAGATGGTCAAAACAAGCTTCTCAACCCTCTTCATCTGGTGGGAAAGAAAGTCATCCTGACTGCACACTCTCAGACAACAGAAAATGTTTGAAAAATAACTTTCTTCTCATTGGCATTTTTGTTATAGCACGCAGTTTCCTGTGACTAGTACTAGTAACATCTGAACTTTAGAAATCTGAACCAATTGCTTGATCTGAGATTCTCAGTCCATAGGCTATGTTCTGCTGTGACACGGAAGCAGCAGCAGTGAACAATGCAGAAGACTAAAAATTCTTTTGAAAGAAAAACCATTTAAGTTGCTCTTACAGAAGTAGAGAACAGAACAGAGGTTACTAGAGTCAGGAATGGGGCAAGACAGGGGAGACAGAGGGAAGGTGAGCAACAGGCACCAAAATACGGAGATTGAGAGGAATAAGCGCTAGTGCTAGTGCTCTACAGCCACAGAAGGGGGCTACAGTTTACAGCAATTCACTGTACATGTCATAGAGGACTAGAAGAGGAACTTCACAATCTCCCAACATAAAATAATGACAAAAGTTCAAACAGATGTACATCTAATCACTCTGATTCATTCATTATATATTCTATACATGAACTGAATTAATTACTATGTGGTATCACACAAATATGTATAATTATTATGTATTGATTAAAACAATTTTTAACTTACTTTTCTCAGACTCACTTACATTGCTTCCACTATACCTATCCCAGAAATCCAGGCATCTGTGAAGGTAAAAATAAAGGTAATAACATTACCCCCAAAATACACATTTACCCATTTAGCCCACATAAGATAAATAAAAGGTCAAATTTCTTTTTTTTTTCTGTATGCCAACATGGGCTACATTATTTTACTAGTTTGAAGATAAGAAATTTTGAAATTGTGAGAAATAATAGAGTAAAAGGCAATTCCTAAATGCCACAGATATAAATTATTACAGAGTTCATGGATTTTTGTCAAGCCCAAGAGAAAACCATATCTACAGAATAAAAATCACTAATCAGCTATAGAAATGATTCCATCCTTTATGTTGAGTTTTTTAAAAAAATATTTTATTTATTTATTTATTTCAAAGAGTTAGAGAGAGAGAGAGACAGACAGGGAGAAAGGTCTTCCATCTGCTGGTTCACTTCTCAGATGGCCAGAATGACCAGGGCTAGGCCAGGTTGAAGCCAGGAGCTTCCTTCAGGTCTCCCACATGGGCAGCAGGGACCCAAGAACCTGGGCCATCTTTCACTGCTTTTCCAGGGCATCAGCAATGAGTGAGATCAGAAGTGGAAGTGGAGCCACCAGCTATTAACTGGCAGTCATATGAGATGCTGGCATTGCTGGTGGTGGCTCTACCTGCCAGGTCACAACACTTACCCTGTTCCCTACATTGAGATTCTTAAAAGCTAAAAATATGTCATCCCAAGTTCCTACTTTATGCCTAACCTAAATGAAATCTTCCTGGGGCCAGCACTGTGGCGCAGCGGATTAAGCCACATCCTTCACTGCTGGCATCCCAAATGGGCGCTGGTTTATGTCCCGGCTGCTCCACTTCCAATCCAGTTCCCTGCTAATGCACTTGAGAAAGCAGCAGAAGATGGCTAATCTGCCATCGACACAGGAAACCTGGATGAAGATCCTGGCTCCCGGTTCAGCCTGGCTCAGGCCTGGCTATCGCAGCCATATGGGGAATGAACCAGCAGATGAAACCTTGCTCACTCGCTCACTCTCTCTCTCTCTCTTCTGTGTGTGTGTGTATGTGTGTGTATATAACTCTGCCTTTCAAATAAAAAAAATTTATTTTATTTAAAGTAAAAAATAAAAATCTTTAAATTAAACTTTCTTACAAATAAGATAGTGATAAAATACAGATAGCCTTCTGTGGATATTTCTATAGAGTAAATATTTGATTGATTGTTTACATCTCAGGGGTTCCTTTGTCTTGAATTTTAAAGCAGGACAAAAAGAAAGACCAAAAAGAAAAAAGGAGATGTAGAGAGGGAGGGAAAGGGTGACAGAAGAGATGAGGGAAGCAGAAAGAGAAGGAGAAAGAGAGAAATTGACTGAGAATTGACTGAGATCTTAAATGTTTACATGTGGGTCTTCAACAAGTTCATGTAAATTACCTACTTGAAAAAACTATGCATGGACTTCAAAAATTCTTTTGCACCAAAATAAACTCACACTAAATTGTTATAACAGGTCTGAATAAGATCTAATTTGTGGTGCTAAGAAGAATATCAGTGCAAAAAGAACCCCTTTCAAAGCAACATGAACTATTCTAAAACTGGAGCAAAAGCAAACCTTAACTTTACGGTGAAGCTTGGCTGGAAGGATGGTGAAATCACTGATGCTTCAGGAAGTTTATGGGAATTGAGGCGGGACGTAGCTAGGGTTCAGGGAAAACAACAAGAGGGAAGTTCAAGAGGCTGTAAATGCTAGGAGTTCTTGTTCTGCTGATCTGAAAATGCCAGCTTGAAGACCAGCTGGCTTAGAGACTGCCTGTCTGCTTGCATGAGGTAATGGCCAGCCCAGGACACTAGCACCTCTCTATCCAGGACTCCTGGCTCCAGGACTCCCCAGCAACAGTGATCCACCCGGGATACCAGTACACCTCCACCCAGGAAATTAGGCAAAACTCTCCCTGGCAACAACTCCCTCTCCCTTCTATGAAAATATGGCTACAAATTCACAGTTCAAATCAAACTTGGAGCCCTGAACTCTTCTCAGAACCCAGCTCCTACAGTCCTATGGAGTGTACTCTTGCCTGTGACTCTGGGAGAAGACTCTAAGCGAAGTCATTCTTCGAGCCTAAGGTAAGCCCTTTCCAAGCCCTGACTCTACCCTGCCTGTAAAGTGTATTTGCTTCCTAGAATAAATCTCTGCTGCCTATGCTTGCTGTCTATGTGAGCCTCATTCAGCTCACTGTCTGAAGTTCAAAAAACCTGTCCTCCATACCTACAACAGGGACAATGCCCCAAAGAAATCAACATTTACCAAAGGATAACATTTTGATCGGTACACATTGTATACATTTATTGAAATGTCACAACCTATAAAAATGTACAATTATTACTAATTTTTACAATGTTTAAAAAAGAAAGGATAAGACTATGTGGAAGATGAAATCTACAGAGGCAGACCATCCAAATCAAGTTATGAAGAATACAATAATCTTGTTCATGTCCTAATTGTTTTCAACAATTAGATTAACACCAGAAACAATCACCAACACCATAGACATATAAATGCTAAGTTTACATAATTCTGACTGAAAAGCAAACTTTCTGGTTTCCAAATAAACTGGAACAAAAGTTTAGCCTTAATGAGTGCCAAAACTAGTGCGCCCGGATGAGCCACAGATAAGAGCAGAATTATTGGTGGAAATTTTAAACAGTGGGATTAAGACTCTGGAGTGTTTCTTGGAAGAATTAAAACAGGAGATGAATCATGCCTTTCCCGGTACAATCTTGAAGACAAATCACAATCAAAGCAATGGCTACCAAGATGGAGAACTGATCCAATCCAAGCAAAAGTGGACTGATTAGAGCAAAGGTCATGGCAGTAGGTTTTTGAGATGCTTAAGGCTTTTGCTTGTTGACTTTCTAGAGGACCAAAGAACAATAATATTTGCTTATCAAGAGAGTATTTTCTGAAACTAGAGCCAAACCTTTAGCAGAAAATACCTAGGAAAGCTTCCGTAGGCCTCCTTTTCTTCCATAAAAATGCTCCTGCTTATTCCTCTCATCAAACAAGGCCAATTTTGCAAGAGTTTCAATAGATAATCATTAGGTATCCACCTTACAGTCCTAATTTGCTTCCTTCTGACTTTTTATTTTATAATCTTAAAAACCTTTTTAAAAAAGATGCATTTAGTTATTTGAAAGGCAGAGTTACAGAGAGGGAGAGAGGGAGAGAGAGAGAGAGAGAGAGGGCTTCCATCTGCTGGTTCACTCCCTAGATGGCCACAATTGCCAGAGCTGCACCTATCCAAAGCCAGGAGCTTCTCCGGGTCTCCCATGTGGGTGCAGAAGACCAAGGTCCTGGGCTATCTTCTACTGCTTTCCTGGCCATAGCAGAGAGCTGGACTGGAAGTGAAGCAGCTAGAACTCAAACTGGCATGCAAATGGGATGCCGGAACTGCAGGTGGCGGCTTTACCCACTATGCCACTGCAGCAGCCCATAAAAAAAATCTTTATAGGGCACTCATTTTCATTCAGTTAAAAATGTACAAAAAAGAGAGATTGAATTTACATAATTAAATTCCCAAGACTCTCAAATTTATAGGGTTAAATGGCTAGTATCATTGATTACAAAATTGATTTGACCTTGAAGGAAGTTGAGAAATAAAGTTTATTTTTTATCTTTTAATTCCATTTTTTCCATGAAATTATCAAAGTCCCTGAATATATAATTTGATGATTTGAATGCCTTAATTGTGGCAATTTTAATATTTTATCTTCTCAAATTGAAATTTTAGGGGTTGGCATTGTGGCGTTGTAGGTTAAGCACCTGCCTGTGGTTCCAGCATCCCACATGGGCACTGGTTTGTAGCCCGGCTGCTCCTCTTCTGATCCAGCTCTCTCTGCTCATGCCCTTGGTAAGTAGTGGAAGGTGGTTCAAGTGCTTGGGCCCTTGTACCCATGTGGGAGATCAGGAAGAAGCTCCTGGCTCCTGGCTTTGGATCAGTCCAGCTCCAGCTGTTGTGACCATTTGGGGAGTGAACCAGCAGATGGAAGACCTTTCTTTCTGTCTTTCCCTCTCTCTGTAACCCTGAATCTCAAATAAATGAATTAAATGAAAAATTGAAATTTTAAGCAAAGAAAGATCTTGCTGTAATTTAATTTACTTTACAACCACCAAAATTGATAGTCATGAATTTGAATCTAAGTGCATAAGAACCAAATTCATAAATCCACAGGGACCGCATTTTGATTTGAAATAGTTATTTAGGGAAAATATTGTAGGATTCATGAGTGGAAAAGGAGTGAAGCTTGCAGGATTGGGGAACTGATTTGTTTAAATACAAAATGGTGCACTGTAAGTGATTTTTTTTTTCAATTCAAAAGATTATGTTGTTCTTTATAATTTAATGTTCACATCCTCTCGTCTGCTTCATTGTCAAACTCCTAACCAATATTAGATGTCTCACATGTACCTAGCTAAGTATGAAAACCTCACATATTTTAGGGACATTCCAATTGTACATACTATTTTGTCACCCAAAAGAAAAACTTCTCCATCTCTCAAAGGAAATCTAAAACTGCTAAAATGTTAATTAAGCTCTCTTAGTAAAGAAGAGTTATCGAAATAATACATTCTAATAGACACTTGATTTGTCTGTCCAGGAAAAAAAGGTATTTTTTCTATATTTGATGTTCATTTTTATTTTTTACAGTATTAGCTAGCCGATTTTGTTTTCCCACAGGGAAGGGATAATCAGAATGGATCTTAAAGAATAAATACAACTGCCTCCAGTGCTGGCATTCCATATGGGCGCTGGTTCGAGTCCCGGTTGCGCCACTTCTGATCCAGCTCTCTGCTATGGCCTGGGAAAGCAGTAGAAGGTGGTCCAAGTGCTTGGGCCCCTACACCTGCGTAGGAGACCTGGAAGAAGCTCCTGGCTTCTAGCTTCAGATGAGTGCAGCTCTGGCCATTGTGGCCAATTGGGGAGTGAACCAGCAGATGGAAGATCTCTCTCTCTCCCTCTCTCTCCCTCTCTGCCTTTCCTTCTCTCTTTGTATAACTCTGACTTTCAAATAAAATAAATAAATCTTTTTAGAAAAACAGTAAGAGATCAACACTTTCTGCATTGGTTTCATCTTTTACATTCAGCTTTAAAATGTTCAACTTGAATTGTCCATTAAAACAGACTGTACTCCTAATCTAGTACATTTGTTAAAAAAAGAAAACTGTCAATTAATTTGGGATTTACAGATAACCCACTGTGAACAAGTAATTGGAAGAACATGTTCCCTTATTAAGAACCAAATAAAATATTTCCTAGAATGTTTATTGGCCTAATTTTGACTAAAATGATTATAATTCATATCTATGCGGCCAGAAAAAAGTACCAAAATTATAGGGAAGAAGCACAAAATATTCCTTGCTCAGTGATTTCTTAATTCATGCTTCAGAATATTAGACTCACCTATGTATTTCTAGAAAAGAGTCTAGATCATTTTCTAAAGGCTAGTCAAGAAAAGAGTCTAATCATTAATTGCTAAATTAACAGATTCACCAGTAATGACACCTGCCATATGTGACAAGTCATGTCAGGAGCTGGAGACACTGAGATAAGTAAGGAACAGCCTTCAATATTTGAGAAAGGTCTTCCTTTGCCGTTGGTTCACCCTCCAATGGCCACCGCGGCCGGCACGCTGCGACCGGCGCTGATCCGATGGCAGGAGCCAGGTACTTCTCCTGGTCTCCCATGGGGTGCAGGGCCCAAGCACTTGGGCCATCCTCCACTACACTCCCTGGCCACAGCAGAGAGCTGGCCTGGAAGAGGGGCAACCGGGACAGAATCCGGCGCCCCGACCAGGACTAGAACCCGGTGTGCCGGTGCCTCAAGGCAGAGGATTAGCCTAGTGAGCCACGGCGCCGGCCCAGGTTCACTTTTTAACAACCCGCTCTTGCAATAATAAATCCACTGTCATAAGAACCACATTAATGGCCGCATCTTCTTGCCCCCAAGACCTGATTACCTATTGATGGTCCCACCATCACATCAACGAATTAAGTCTCAACATGAGTACTGGTGGAGACAAACCTGATTCCTTTCTCTTTTCTATTTTCCACTTTCTACAGAAAGCACTGCTAGAAACAAAGGAACCTAGGTAGGCATTTGAAACGGTGGTTAAGTCATCACTTTGGGACTCCCGCATCCCATACCAGAATACCTGATTTGAGTCCTGGCTACTCTACTTCTAACCAGAATCCTGCTAATGCACACCTTGGAAGGCAGCAGGCCATGATTCAAGTACATGGGTCCCTGCCACCCAGGTGGGGGACCTGGACTGAGTCCCAGGCTTCTGGCTTTGGTCTGGCCACAGCCCCCACTGTTATGGTTATTTATTTGATGAATAAGCTAGCAGACACAAAATCTCTCTATCATATATATATATATATATATATATAATATATATATATGCCTTCCCAATACAATGAAAAACATTAAAAAGAAGAAGAAAAGGAACCTGACATTACAATGCCACACCTAGGCATGATAGTCATACAACCCACACTGACATTTTTGATAGGGATAAATAAAAGTGACTCAAATTTGGGGATTATTTATTGGAGCAGTTAGGGAGTTTTCTCCTAAGGAATATAAATACATTGAAATGAATTTACTTTGCTTTCAAAAAGAAACAATTCCTTAGTTCATCTTGAAAGATATACATGGAGCCATCCTGGAAAAAATAGCAATCACTCCATCACAACATAGTTTTATTTAGTTCCCACATTAGGTAGAGGTTATCTCTCTAACCTTGTGATGTTCTTTGAGATAGTGCTGCCTGGAAAAGAGGATGTAAGCTATGGATGAGAACAATATGTGAAATACTTATTTCAGATGCAACTTCAGATAGGAAGTGCCAAAAACAACATGAAAAAAAAGGAGGTGAAGGCTAAGAAGCAGGAAAAGAATAAGTGATGGAAATTTTTACAACTGATAAAAAACTAAGTGAAAACACATTGGCCACACAACATTGTGTTTTTGCTTTTTAGCTTATTTTTTAAGGAATACAAATTTCACAAGTACAACTTTAGGAATATAGTTATTCTTCCCACCATACCCACCTCCCACCCACACTTCCACTCTCACTCCTCCTCCCTCTTCCCTTCCCAGTCCCATTCTCCATTAAGATTGATTTCAATTAGATTTGTACACAGAATACCAACTCTATCTTTTTTTTTCTTTTTTTAAAATATTTATTTTTATTTATTTGAAAGACAGAGTTACAGAGAGGGAGAGCCGGGGCGGGGGGGTCTTCCATCCACTGGTTCACTCCCCAAATGACCACAATGGCCAGAGCTGAGTTGATTCAAAGCCAGGAGCTAGGAGCTTCTTCTAGGTCTCCCACATGGGTGCAGGGGCCCAAGGACTTGGGCCATTATGTACTGCTTTCCCAGGCCATAGCAGAGAGCTGGATCGGAAGTGAAGCAGCCAGGACTCAAACCATCACCCATATGGGATGCCAGCATTACAGGGCGCGGCTTTAACCCAAGTAAAGATTTCAACAATTTACACACACACGCACGCACACACACACACACACAAAATGTCAGAACTGTTTTACAGTTAACTCTTATAATACAATTCATTGAGGACAAAAGCCTTGCATGGGAAGTAAGTGCACAGTGACTCCTATTGTTAATTTAACAAGGTATTTATGTATGATGTCAGTGATCACCAGAGGCCTTGACATGAGCTGCCTAGGCTATGGAAGCCTTCTGAATCCAAAGACTCCATCAGTATTTACACAAGGCCATAAGTAAAGTGGAAGTTCTCTCCTCCCTTTAGAGAAAAGTACATCCTTCTTTAATGGCCACTTCTTTCTACTAGGGTCTCACTCACAGAGATCCTTCAGGTAGAACATTTTTTTCCCACAGTGTCTTGGCCTTCCATGCATAAAATGCTCTCATGGGATTTTTTAGCCAGACGAGGAAGCCTTAAAGGCTGATTCTGAGGTCAGAGTGCTACTTAAAGTGATTTTCATTCTATGAGTCTGTTGTGTGGACTGCTTCCCATATTGGAACATTCTCTCTCCTTTTTACTTCTATCTATTATTATTATCAAACACATGATCTAATTTATGTGATCACATTAACACTTAATCCTATCTATATGTTCACTTTAACACTTAATATGATTACTTAACAATTAAGATGGCATTTTTAACACCTAGCTTAATGAGATTTGGAGTCCCATAGCAAGTTTTTAAATTGTACCCTTAGAATTAAGTCCGTAGGAATGTACACAGAACTAACAGCTTTACAGTTACAAACTTCCTTCTCCCTCTCTTATTCCAACTCAGTTTTTACTGAAATCCATCTCAATTCACTTTATAAACATATGATTAACTCTACGTTAAGTAAAGAGTTCAACAAATAGTATGAAGAGAAAACCGGAAAAAAAAAAAAAAAACTAAACTGCTCCTTGAGAGTCAAGACAAGAGTAGCTCAAGTTATCCTTTCTCAAAGTGTCAATTTCACTTCTACAGATTTCATTTTAGGTGCTCTATTACTTCTTATAGATCAGGGAGAACATATGGTATTTGTCCCTTTGGGACTGGCTTATTTCACTAAGTTTGTTGTTTTCCAGATTCATCCATTTTGTTGCAAATGACCGGATTTCATTTTTTTTAACCACTGTAACATTGTGTTTTCCACTCACTAATTTTGACTCAGTTTAGGGCTACATCTCACACTAATATAAATACTTTGAGATTATAACTGGTCAGTTGCCTAGTACTTTTCAGAATTTGAAGTAAATGTGGTGGATGGCTCTCAAAAGCTCAGTGGCTAACCTGAGATTCAGACAGGAGGTATGAATTCAGGGCACATCAGGCAAACTAAAGGTGTGACTCACCAAACTGATTCCCCTCAGAGACCAAGAAACTACCTTTCAAAGAATTCATCCTATGATAAGAGATTTGTGATAGAGAAATTTGACCTAAAAACAGACTAAACTGGAAAAAACAAGCTACTTTGAGCAGGTGGCTGACAACATATTTGCCTTTGGTTCAGATCCAAAATCTGAGGGAGGGAGGAGAGTAATAAAAGTGTGATAAACACTCGAAGGACAAATTCACTGAATGTTCTGTAAAGCTTTGAGAACACACAGGACAGGAACAGTGTACTGCCCAAATGCTGATAAAGCACTGTGGTGAAAGAACTGACAGGATTCTGCACTGAAGGCCACATCACTCCACATCTCAACAAGAACTAGAAGAGGTGTCTTGTATCAGCAGACATCACCAACACTGCTAGCAAACATATACAGCAGCCTAATTCCTTATGGAGATGCAGTGGCCTGGAGAGGTTATCACTGAACAATGCCCTTCCAGCCAAGTTCTGATTATTTGAGAAATAAAATTAAAATATTAATGTGGAGGCCAAAAGTCACCAACACAAGCAGGTCAGAGAACTCAGTATTGGGAGTTTGTTGATTTAATACAGAATTAGATTAAATTTGCTACCCAATTGAAAGTAATGTTGGACAGAGGCAGCATTTCCCATTGGAAAGTCCTGCCTATGAAGCAAAGTGAAATGACATTGTGGTCAGTCTCCTTCTGGAAGAGAGGTAGGGGACAGGGTGAATTGGACAGCGAGAAGGATCTAGAATGAGTAATAAAATATAAGATAAGTACCAGTTGTGGCCTCAAGAGGAAATGAAGTAAGTGGTATGCTCCTTGAGTACTTCACACTACTGATCTTCCTTTGTAAAGATTTCTCCTTTCTTCCAGTTGCTTGTGGATGCTCACTACATAAAGCAGTTCACTCTGGATGATGTAAGAGGTGAGCAGTATCGACACAGTGGTGGCCAAGGTGCCCAGTCTCTCTCAGAACC